AGGACATTAAATTGCCAGTATTTTTCATTTTCAAACATTTTGGCAGGCGCTTTTCCATCATTGCCTTTGGTGGCAGAATTCATCACAGTTGTCTGACGGATGCTATCCATGGCTAAATGCCAAACAAATTAAATTGTAATTAATCATTAGCTCGAAGCACCCGCACACCCATCTCCCCCTTTCCGCCCGACACGTGCTGAGCGACCTATGACAACGTTCCGTAACAGTAAAATGTCCGCCAATTAATTACAAAACGCATGAGAGGCCAGATAAGAGCGCCAGCCATTAGGGAAAGCGCCGACGAAAGACAAAAACAGAATAGCATACAAAAACGGGAATGGGAAAGGGAATGGGAAGAGAGGGAATGGGTGAAAAGTCTGGGGTATGGAAGGGAATGGGAGACACATGAGCAATTAACACCCTGGATGTGACTTTGCCATCTGTGCCGAAGTACAAATTAATTGATTTTTTCGCTTTGTGCTTACCTCTGTTAAAAGAAAAGTGTAAATGGCAATGGCAATACAAATTATAATCATGTTTTGGGCACATTTGTTAACAATTACACGTTGGCCATTGCATACACAGTTGGAAACGCTGCTTGATTTAATGTCACAATATGAGGTACAGTATTTTACTTTTAATATTAAGAAATATTTAAAGAGATATCTTCACCTGAAATACAATGGGACGTTTAAAAGATCGCAGCGTTAATATTTTTGTAGGACAGTCCCCCATCCGAGGGAAGTTCGTGAGCTGTTATCATACCTTGTAATATTGATTCTATCTTTCTTACCGTCTACTGTGGACTTCTTCTGTCTTCGGTGTAATTTTCCCTGGTCGTTAGAAACGTCTGACCCAAAATACTAAATACGCATTATTATCGTGCATTACCTTTTCTGAATGGGGAGCCCTAAATTGAATTGTTTAGTTTGGTTTTGGTTTGTTTGTTCGTTTGTTCGTTCGTTTCAAAAGGCTTAAATGCAGCCTAAGGAGATTGGAAGGCTTGTCCGAAATTATACATATTAATTAGTTGTTTGCTCAATTTGGATTTGATAGCCTATGAGGCTAAGAGAATTTCAGGGCAATAAATACTGTAAAGAATTAAAATTTACTTTTGCTTTGTCTGTTAAATGGGGTCAAGATTTGCATGCAAATTAACGCAAAGGCAACCTCAAGCTGTTGGTTGATGAACACATGTGAATACCACATGTGCAACTCTCCATGCAGTCAGTTCATTTATGATTAACACGACCAACACAAACAGGGCTCGGAAATGGAAATTGGCTTACTTTAATATGTTGAACACAAGCCACACTACCACCACCAAAACAAACAACCAAATAAGAAATGATAGCTTGAGTGACCGAAGATTTAAATACCCTTGCAACGAGTTCTTTCCAAATATTACTCTGCAAATAGACCAAATATATAAATTCATATACCGTTTATAGGGCTGCTCTACTTAGCTTTAAAATTCTGGTAACTATTAAGTTACCCTCTGGTAGGGTAACAACAAAAATAACAAAATGTGTGAGAACAATACAAACTGAACATTTTGCTGGCATTTGCGTACTTCTGGTACTGGCATGAATGTGGTTTAGGTTAACTGTAACCGTTATGCGTCGACACCGACCGAGGGTGTTACATTCGGAACTCCAAACTCCCCGCAATTCCCCAGTCGGCCGCTCTGGCGGCGGATGCCGTCGGCATTTGAATGCGACGGATGCCAGGGATGTGCTGGAAGTGTGAGTCTACGGATTGGATGGTGGTGAGGGTGTAAAACATGTTTGTGCGTTTTGCTACTTGTTATACTTATTCTGGTGCCATTATTTTCCTTCATTTACTCGATTTTCGTGCTTTCCATCCTTTATTGTTGTTTGCTCTAGTGCCGTTATCATTTGTCGGTTTACTTTGTGCCATATGTGGCCGAGGCGGAGCACACAAGCGCCACTCTCCCGTTCAGCCAGCGACGCTTGCTCAACCTAACCTCATGGAAAGGAATACGAGTGTATCGAGTCCCACGTATTTACCTCCACACTCGAGAATAAAGTTGGTCAGAATTATTTAGAATAAGAACAGCCATATTATATAGACAACACTTTTTGATTTCTGGGACTATATTGAATTTATATTGAAGGTATTTCTATCAGTGTACCGGAAAGAGTGCTAATCCAGTATATTTTCCCATCGGTGTTCCTTGCGTGTGCGCCTGTGTGGGTGTATGGGTGTCTGGCAGGGCACTTACCAGAATATTCGCCGCCTGCCACAACAGCCGAGAAACACTCACCTTGCGTATTCCCAAGTGAATTCATTGTCTGATCTTTATTTCGGGGAAATTGTTTGTTATTTCATGAGGCGGTTGATTAACTTTTCCACACCTAGCAGACACGTTTGCGGTTTCAAAAAGTTTATGCGCTGCAAATTTACTCGGTTGCATATTTGTAACGGTACAATGCTGATAACGTAGTGCTGCCAGGTTAGCGGATACGAGTGCGAGACAGCCCTATTGCCTAGTGTTGCCAGACCAGTGGAGTCAGCTGTATTTTTTTTGTTGGTATATTATCGATATTTTTTTTGCATTTTCACTATTTTTCTAGTCGTTTTTTAAGTAATTTCTTTTTATGTCTCGTCATTCTCGTTACAGGCCCGCCAGATTTGAAATTTTTGTAATACACTTGTAACAGTGTGATATCACATGAATCTGGAGATAAAATTTGGTTGCTCTAGTTTTTTTAGTCTCTGAGATCTAGGCGCTGTTCGGGACGGCAGACATGGCTATATCGACTTGGCTAAAGTTGCTGATCAATAATACATATGTATGTATATATGTATGGGGTCGGAAACGTTTCCTTCTCTGCGTTGCACACATATGTAACTCTTCGAGTACGGGTATACAACTTTGGAGTGTGAGCAGTCGGTGATAGAAAACTGACTTAATGGGGACCCATAACAAATCATTGTATCGTGGTATACGGCTACTCTGAAAACTTATTTCCAAGAATATTTATGCAATATTTTTAGCTTTGTTCACTGACTTATTGAGGTCATGCGTTATCTTTTTATACGTATACTCTGAACAATTATTAACGAGAATATATTTATTATATTATATGTTTATATATATAATAGTTTTGGCTGTGTTCACTGACTTAATGGGGTCATGGGTTATCCTGTTATACGTCTACTCAGAAATCTTATTTGCGAGAATATTTTTGCAATATTTTTGGCTGTGCTCACTGGTTTCTTGATAACAAGCCTACAAATCCACTACTTAAACATCTCCCAAGTCTTAATGCGCTTCAGTCTTGTATTTGAATTGTTAAACTAAACAAGTGATCAAAATGAGCTTTATTATTGCATTTTTTCTACTTGGGTTGTTCTCGCAGCGATCCCTGGCAAAAAGTTTGGTAAGTAATCGTATATTAGAGTAGGAGAAATCTAAGACAGAGAGACTATTCAATAACCATAATTATAGGAGGAACCAATTGCTGGCTGCACAGGCATCTGCTCCGAACCCAATAAATCATTCTTGGATCAACAGGTTATTAAGCAAAAGCTAATTAATAACATGGAAACTAATTTAAAGACCCAACAGGAATGGGTTCAAAATCTAGTTAATGTAGCGAATCAAGAAAAACTGAAGAACAGACAAACACTAGAGGCAATCGAATCCAGAATGGCAAGACTAGACAGTGTAGCACATAAACTACATGAAAACCCACTCACTGATAGGTACTTAGACGAGTTGCGGGTTAGAGTAGAGGTACTAGAGAAACGGATCGCAGGGCAAGAAAACACCGTTTCTACTTTGGGTGAAGTCCCACTAACAAAGGGACTGTACAACGTTGTTGTTGGGGTGCTGTTGGGGCAACAAGAAATCATAGCTTTAAATAATAGATTCGCTGATAGGCTAAGCGGAATAAAGGAACAATTGGCTGACCTACAATTGAAACATCTCTCTGAAGCCGCCAAGATCAAAGAGCGATTTGACGCCATAGAAAAAGATTTACCTGACAAGCAACTTAATATCGAGTCGAAGGGAAGTTATCTGACAGAGGTACTAAACGGACTGAAAAATCAATTGGCAGGCCACGAAACGAAGCTTGAAAGCTATGAAAATAAACTTTTAGACACACAGTCAAAACTATCCAAGCTACTGTGGGCCGCAACATATGTGAAACTCGGCTCAAAATATTATTATTTTGAAAAGCATAACAGACTAAACTGGACAGATGCCCGGATTAGATGCCAAGAATTGGGCGGCCACCTGGCTAGCCTGCAGGATCAGCAGGAGTTCGATTTAGTGACACGGGATCTATACGACATAAACTACTACTGGTTGGACATTAATGATATTGAAAATGAAGGGGAATTTGTGTCGAGTACTACTGGGAAGAAGGCAAATTTCTTAAAATGGAGACAAGCTCCAGATAACTGGCTTGGAAAACAAGATTGTGTAGAACTAGCATACATCAGTAAGGAAATGTAGTGGGAATGAACGATGCGGATTGTTCGAAACAACAAATGTACATTTGTGAAAAAAAGTTGTAAAGTAAATAATTTTGCTTTAAATAAATAAAAGCATACACTTTGAAGCCCTATATGCATTCCAAGTTCTACAAATACGTAATGATTTTTGAATTTGATTAGCGCAAGAATGATTGTTACTGATCTATAAAATTTAATGTCTAGAACAAATAATTCTGATCGTGTTTATATATATATTTCTGGGTACTTTTTGAAGAACTTAAAGACGTTGAGCAATAAGTCTGAGTCGATGTATTTTTGGGTGTTATACGAAAACATATATACGTTTGCGCTGATAGATTGCTGTCAAATTCGGCTCGTCTGAAAATGACGACACCAGAGCCGAAGACCTGGGAACGTCCGCAGCAAACTCAGCTGCAACATTTTTGTTGCATTTCTGGCCCGGCACATCTATTGTAGCCCTATTTTAGGGTGCTGCCAGACCAATGCGAGTCAGCTGAGTTTTGTTTTGTTTTGTTGTTGGCACCGGCACCGGCATTGGACGCACGTTTTTCCCATTTTCGCTCACATAAACAAAAACTATTTTTAAAGCACCGCAATTAACCAAACAATACGACGGGGCAGCAACACTCTTCGGATGCGCAATGAAATGCTTTGTTCTTGTCAGCGGCCGCCACAGAAGTTCCTGGGTGCCGAATGCGTGCTGACGACGATCGGCGCGTCGTCCAATTAATTTAATTCACAGCAGTGGGAATCGTCTGTACGCGCAGAAGATTTATTGGCTGGCTGCTGCGGCTGCCAAGAGTCGGAAAAGGGTCAGGCCACGTACACGTATTTAAACAAGAGGCGCTACATTGCCGCTGATTGACTTGTTGGCAGCGAAGTGTAGACTGACGCAGGCACCCAGTCCACGCACCCAGTAAGTAGTAGAGTTGGTCCCGATTCCGGGAAAGGACTCGCCCCAATGCAGCGACTAAAATGCCAAAGCAAATTTATCTAGATTCTCGACCGAAACAAGCAGCAGAAAGCGGCGCATGGCCGCAATTAGTGCGGATGGGAACAACAATGGACTGATGCGAACAGTTGTTGTCGATGTCTGCCAAAAAGCCAAAAGCAGCCGCAGAAGGAACAACGGCAGCATGCAACAGCAGCAGCAGCAGCGGACCAGCACCAACAAAATATTTGCTAAAATTGAGCAATTTGCTAGTGCCGCCGCGTTACGTATACGTGATATTAAAAATAAAGTACCAGCGACTGCCCAGACCATACCACAGCAGCAGCAGCTAAATAGGCGACGGCGGCCACAAGTTGCAGCAGGATGAACAAACGCACCATCATCATATTGGGGATTGTAGCCAGCCTGCTGGGCCTGGTGCTGGGTGCGAACTTCTACTTCATGTACTACCTGAACATCGAGGAGGGCCACCTGGCCAGTGTCCGGGCGCTGGAGAACATGATACGTCACAAGATGCGCCACCTGCATCCGGCCTACCTCAACCGCAATCCGCGTTTCTTCATGTTCCGCAACAAACTCCTCAAGAACTACAAAATGGCCCCCTACGAGAACGCCAGCGTGCTCTGGGACATTGCCAATTGGGTGAGTCACGGGTGAGAGGCGACAGATCGGGCATTCCTAACAACAGAACTCGTTCCTTTTGCAGTGGCCACACGAGAACGAGATCTACCCGCTGTACGACTCTTCTATGGGCCACCTGTTGGAGACGCTGCGCAAGGAGCCGATCACCCGCGTAAGCAATCTGGCGCGCGGCACTCAGCTGAAGCTCTTGACGCGCCTGTCGCAGCAGCAGAAGGTCATCTTCAAGCCGCAATGGTATCCACGCGACGAGATTATCGAGGGTGCCGTCTACAGCGGCAAGGATCGTCATACGGCCGAGGTGTACGCCTTCTATCTGGGCGCTGTGCTCGATCTGCGCTGGACACCGATTGTGGTGGGGCGCGTGGTCAATCTGAAGACTGAAATCTATGCCCAGGGCGACCAGGAGCTGCAGAGCACCATCAGCATCGAGGTGGGTGAGGATGGCAAGGAGACCTATTGCCTGTACGGCAAGTGTCACTACTGCAACGAGGAGGAGACCGTTTGCGGCGACGACAGGCACAACATCGAGGGTGTGCTCATTTACATTGTGCCCGGCACACTGGCGAAACGACGCTCCCCCTGGCAGCGCACCTACAAGGAGGACAGACGAGCGCCCTGGGAGGATGACATGACCTATTGCAAGTATGTTTTACACAACCATTAATCTTTTAAAAGTCAAACGATTCCTGTGCTCAGATCGCTGAAGAATAAAATGGAAACGATTCGCCTGCTGGACCTCATCGATGTGGCCATCTTTGACTATCTCATACAGAACGGGGATCGGCATCACTACGAGACGCGTGAGGATCGTGTGGTGCTCATCGACAATGGCAAGGCTTTTGGCAATCCCAACAAGGATCATTTGGACATCCTGGCGCCGCTCTACCAATGCTGCCTGTAAGTTTTGTCTTTCAATGTTGATTGTTGATGTTGAATTCATTTTTTTCCGGCCCTTAGTCTGCGCAAATCCACATGGGATCGCCTTCAGGTATTCTCCGGCGGCGTGCTAACGGAAATAGTCGATCGCCTGTCCAAACAGGATGCCCTGTATCCGCTCATCACGGACAAGCATAAACGCGGCGTGGAACGCCGATTGCTTGTGGTCTATGCCGTGGTGGAATACTGCATGGACCTGGAGGGTGACAAAATGTTCAAAACGCTCTAACCCCAGCTGAGGACTAGACTAAGTTGGTTGTTGGTAGACCAAAATGTGCCACGCAGCATCCACATGCTACTATCCAATCCTATCCACCGTTTCTGCCTGGGATCCGAACGTAACAGGTCTCGGCTTGGTGTCGCATGTGCCAGTTGATGCTGCACTCATTGCATATCAGTTTTCAATGTAATAATGTTTCATTTACCCCGCTTAAAAGTAGAACAAATAGTTAGAATAGATAGACGCAACTGATGTGGAAAAATGAACCTGCCTTTTAGCTAAATGATACTTTAACCCATTGACCTTAGAATACAGAACATAATCAATAGCTCTAGTTTACTGCATAGTTATGGTTGATATTTAATAGGAAGTATTTTAGAAAAATTTGCAAATAAACGGAAACAAAAGTAGATTGTTGTCCCAATTGAATATTTGTGATTCTCCTGGTGGTGGAGAACCCCGTCTGACATATTTTAGAAATGTATTTTTATATGGATTTGAAGCACAGTTCTATTTCTTGCCTTCTTTCCTTACATTACTAAATGTAAAAAGCTTATTAAACTGCTTGTTATTCCGATTGTTGGGACGATTCTGAAAGCAAAGTAAAAAATGGTAAATAAATGTGGGACGGAATAGCAGGAATATGGAACTCACCTTTCCGCGTATTGTTTGCTTGATCTCTGTGCCACGGGCACGTTGTGCGCCGCCCTTGAACTGGCGAAAGTCCACGTTCTTGTAGTCAAAGTTGTTGCCATGCGGCTTGGGCTGCTGTTGCTGCTGCACCGGTTGACTGGAGCTCTGGGGATGATTGCCTCGTGCCTTGGCACCTCTAAAGCGCTGGAACTGCTGACGCTTCTGCTGGCGCTTGCTCGGGACTTCACCCGCTTGCGCTACAGGCTTTTTCTCTATGGGAACTTCTACGACAGCGTCATCGTCGTCGCCATCGTCACTGATACTGGCGATCGTCTCGCTCTTCACTGCTGCTGGAACTGCTGCCGGTTTGGGTTTGATGTTGCCCTCCCTCCAACGCTTGCTGCTGCTGGGATGCTGGTCAGAGTCGGGCTTGTGCTTGCGCTTAAGCTGTTCCTTTAGCGGCAGGCTGTAGACGGCATCCTCGGCCTCAACCTTACCTGTGGATGACTCCAATTTGATGTCATCTGGCGGGGGTGCTGATGGGCACAGACGACGCTTGAGCAGTTCATTGCGGTCACGTGCCTGCTGGTCGGCCTTCACCTGCACCATGAGCGGAAGGATGGCCAGGTAGCGCTTGTAGGGCATGCGCAGCACCTGGCTCTCCTTGCGCAAGTGCACCAGACGCATCTCTTCCTCCGGAGTGTGCGACGAGGGCTTGGCGAACAGAGTCATGGCCGGCACAGCCAGGGGAATATCCTCGTTGGGTTGCTCCTCCACCACTGGCAGCTGCAGCCTGCCCGACGCATTGCGTTTGAGCAGCGTGGGCAGATCATCGCGCGTCTCCTCCAAGTGGGTGAAGTCGTGCGGGCAGTAGAGTTTGCTGCTGTAGTCCTTGCTGGTGGTGGGCAGGGCCTGCGGCTGGCTGCGTGCCTCCAGGATGGGCTGAAAGAGCAAGAGCAAAATAGAGATACAATATCCGTTTCCCTGGCAGCGTATTTCTATATACAAATGGCTTAAGCTTAAATGACATGCGCTGAGAGGGTGCGTTATCTTTTGATTTCAACATTAAGTACAATTAATCGTGAATGGATACAGGGGCGTGGAGCAGGCGGGCACGGCGATTAGATGGAGGGGCGACTCCTCCTCGGGGTAACTCACTTTAACCAGCGGCTGTTCCCGCGCCTTCAGCACGATCTGGTGGAGCGTGTGCAGCTGCTGGCGCACCAGCGGCGGTATGGGATTGCAGCAGGCGAGTACGCCCTGCATCTCCCTGGGCAGACTCTCGGCAATCTGGAGCATCATGTGATTGGGCAGCACATAGCCGTAGCTCTCGTCCTCTTGGCGCGCCGTCGCATCCCGCCACTCGAAAATGCCCCGCAAGGCGTGCAGCTGTCGATTGTCGAAGGAGCGCTTCGTTTTCCGCACCAGATCGAGATGCGACTCCGGGCCAATGTGGGGTTTGGTGTAGCGCTTCTTGCACACCTCTGTGCTTAGCTGGAAGACGCTGCGCAGGGCCTGCGGCTGCCCCTGCTCGCTCTGCAGCAGATCGTTGGTCATGCGCTCGTACACGTAGATCAAGTAGTGCGTGTCCTGGCGGGCGTAGTCGATGAGCTGCTGGGGGAGCGGCCGCATGCGCCAGTCGGCCAGCTGGAGGCTCTTGTCCACGTCCAGGTCTACGTAGTGCTTGAGGAGAAAGGCCAGCGACAGCCGAGCCATGTTCAGGGCCTTGGCCGCCCGATGGGTGTCGAACATGTTGACGATGTACAGCGAAAGGTCGCGCTGCAGCCACTCAATGTCCTGGTCCGCGCCGTGCAGGATCTTCAGCTTCTTGGGATCAGTCAGCACCAGGTTCAGGACGTGCATCTCCTCGCGCAGCGCAAGACTGTCGAAGATGTAGTCCTTGGTGCGCGTGGACATCTGCACCAGGCAGGTGATGCCCATGAACGTGCGATACGAGTGATGCTCCACATCGATGGCTATGTGGGGTGCCTGGCGCAGCTCTGCCAGGGCCTGATTCAACTTTTCGACACTGTCCACGAGCATCAGTTCGGTGTTCGCGGGCGGAGCAGGCATCAGAGGCGTCTGCCTCTGTATCTGCTCCGCCGACGGCTCAAACTTCATCAGCTCAAACTCATACGGATGCAAATAGGCGTGCACATTGCCCGCCTCGTCGTACTCGGGCAGCAGTGCCAGCGGCTTAAGCGAGTTTGGCTTCTCCCTGAGGCGTGGCGCAAACGGATTATGGTCACTGTTGTCCACCGGCACCTTGAAGTTCATCTGCGGCCGCATTATGTTTTTGGCCGTGAAGAGGCGAGCGGAGAGCATGTTACGCTGCGGCGTGGGTGGCCACCTGTTCCAGCTTCCCGCCTTTGCGGTCTCTGCTGGTGAGGCCACCGCTGTCGCCGGTGAGGAGCTCAATACATCAACCTGAGTCTCTAGCACCATGTGCGGATTCCTCCGCTGCCCGGCTTTGATGTCCAGATTCGTTGTAATGCGCTCGAAGAGTATATCGTTGCACTCCTGGACCATCTCGAACTGCTCCTCTACCTGGCGTCTGTATACAAAGAAAAAGAAAAAAAGAGTAAGAGGATGGAGAACCATTTGCAGGATGCTTACTTTTTAATGTCCCCCTTGACCTCTTCGGCCTGCAGCACATTGCCAATGAGACCCACTAGCCGCTGGGACAGATCGTCTATGACACGCGAATACCCAGGATAGCTGAGATACAGGGAGCGGGCGGTGCCCTGTGGAAAGGAGTTGCAGGCACGTGTGGCGGCCACCACATTCTTAAAGGCTTGCTAAAAATGAGAAAACAACAAAAAAACACCCGTTAAAATGTGAACACAGGATGCAGCGACCGCTCCACTCGCACCGTTGTGAAATCCGTTATATCGCCAATGGTGCTGCTGCCTCCTGCTGCTAGCTCCGATTCTGTTTGGAGCGGCTGCTCTGTCTGATCCTTCTCATCCTCCTGATGCTCATCCTGCTTTCTTTTCGATGAACGTTGCATTGTCTTCCCCTATTGTTGTAAATGTTCTGTTCTGTAGTACAAAAAAATGTGCGTTTTTCTTCTTCTTATTTCATCCAAAAGAAACAAAAACATATATAATTTAGAGTTTGTCAACACTACCGGCGGCAAAATTTAAGAAAAAGCATTAAGCACTACTCGCACAGCACAATAGACCACTACGAGGGCGAGAATGAAATCGGTTCAGTTTTGAAATTTATAGTGAACAATTTGGACTAATAATATGTTAGTTAGCATAGAAAAACATTCGACTAAAATGTGCCTGCCTGCCTTCTGTTGTTTCAGCCCTGGCGCTCGCTGAGACGCTACGCAGCACTGCACAACAGCTGGCTCAGGTAGGGGGAGAAGAAAAAGAAGAAGAATCTGTTGTTCCAGTGCCGGCGTCCAGCGACATTTATACGGGAAATCTGCCCAAGCAAGCGCCTAAAACGTAATTATAAAACAATAACTAGACCCGCTCTAACCAGCTGCGCAACCTCTGCATCCTCCACTCCACCATGATGGACCTGTACAGGCGCACGGTGACGCGTTTCCCCCTTGGCAGCGTGAGCTACATGTTTGCCTACGGATCGGGCGTCAAGCAGCAGGTGGGCTACAGCGAGATCGGCGCCAAGCCGAACCCGAATAGCGTCATCGATCTGGTATTTTGTGTGCGCGACTCACTGGGCTTCCATGCGGAGAACATGCACCGCCATCCCAGCCACTATTCGGCGTTGCGGCACCTGGGTCCGCGGTTTGCGGCGCAGTACCAGGAGCGGGTGGGTGCCGGTGTATACTGCAACACGCTGGTGCCGCTGCAGGACCTGGGTCTGACCATCAAGTACGGCGTGGTGTCGCAGGAGAGCCTAATCGATGATCTGACGCACTGGCGGCATTTGTATCTGGCTGGGCGGCTCCAAAAGCCAGTCACGCATCTCGTGAATCCCGCAGACAATCCACTTCTGAAGACTGCCCTCGAAAAGAATCTGCTGTCGGCCCTACTGGTGGCACTGCTGCTGCTGCCCGAAAGGTTCACCGCCTACGATCTGTTCCTGGCCATTGCCGGGCTCAGCTACAAGGGCGACTTCCGCATGATCTTCGGCGAGAACAAGCAGAAGGTCCACAACATAGTGACGCCCCAGATATCCGAGTTCTTCGCCCTCTACCAGCCGTCCATGAGCCTGCTGGAGCAGTATCTGGCCGTCAATATGCACGGCCAGGAGCCGGGCTCCCGCAAGCCGGCCATTCTCTTCGAGCAGGACAAGTCGCGCCTGGCCACGTCCCAGCACTTGCGTCGCATGCCCAAGGAGCTGCGGCGACGCCTCCAAAGCAATGCCGCCTGCCGCGGTGACTTTCCCGATGTGGTGGAGCACCTGTCGATGTCCCCGCTGCTGCCCAAGGTGCTGCAGGTCTCCGTCAACGACATCGTGTGGCGCAGCAGTGTGTCGCAGTCGGTGAAGAACATCGCCAGTGCGGGCGTCTTCAAGTCCCTGATCTACAGCTACCGCAAGGCCCAGAAGACGTTTGCCGTTTAGGTCCCATCCGATCCGAAATTCTCTCTTTCTCCCATATGCTCCCGAGGCTGCCATTTTACTGACTAAGTTGCTTCGTCCCTCGCTTCGTTATGTTGTTTAATTTTAAGCACAAAAGTTGTTACATTCAATACAGAGACCGCGTAGCCGCAAGCCAAAGAACCCCAACGAGTTTTTACTTTTTGCTTTTCGTTTTTGTAATTTTTGATTTTTCCCCATTATTCCTCTCAACAGCAGCCATGTCCAGCGATGACTGCAGCAGCGATAGCGGTAGTTCCAGCGACGAGCTGCAGCGCAAGCGGAAGCACAAAAAGTCCAGCAAGGATGTGGACAAGTCCAAGAAGAAAAAGTCCAAGAAGCACAAAAAGGAAAAGCGCCGGCACAAGGAGAAGAAGCGCAGCAGGCGCGAGGATTCGGAGGAGGAGCCGCAGCCGCAGCCTGCCCCAAAGCCAACAATTTCTGTAAATCTGCCGCCTGCTGAAGACCCAGAGGGTGCCTTTGGTGCCCCTCTGCCGCCGCATCTGCGCCAGCAGGCCAAGACTGAACCGTCCCAGATGATTGGCCCCATCCTGCCCAGCGACTTTCCCAAGGCAGCCTCACCAGCTGCCGCAGAGAATGCAGAGGATGATGAGGAGGATGACGATATGAGTGGAACCTTTGGCCCCCTGCCAAATGCCACCCAAGTGGAGCTCGAGGAGCGTGCGCTGGCCCTGAAACTGTCTGTGCTGCAGGGCGGTGGACTGGGCACCTCCACGAATGACAAGGACGGGCGCGAGGAGTGGATGCTGGAGCTGCCCGATGTGGGTCTGAAGGGCGGCCTGGCAGCTCTCAACAACCTGAAGCGAACCTTTCACCAGGGCAAGGAGCGGCCCGATTTCAGCGATCGTTCCGACTGGACAAAAACGCCGCAGAGTGAGGCAGCGGCGGCCCTAGCGGGGCCGAAGCCTTGCAGCTCCAAGGAGCTGGAGCAAATGGCCCAGGCCAAGTATGTGCAGCAGCGGGATGACGAACAGGAGCACCTGGCCAAGAAGCACAAAAAGAAACACAAGCGAGACGAGTCCCTGGTCGCAATCCACCAAAAGAAGCTGCGCAAGGAGCAAAAGGAGAAGGTGAGACACCAAGGGGCGAAATCTTAATTAATTTAAATTCATATTTTTGGGTTGCTCTGCAGGAGAAGGAACTGGCTGCCGCTGGCTTGAAGGCGGAGCGACGTCCCTTTAGTCGCGATGTGGACCTGAAGCTTAACAAGATCGACTCCAATCAAACCAAACAGATTGTGGACAAGGCCAAGATACTGAACAGCAAATTCTCCCGTGGACAGTCCAAGTATCTCTGATGTTTAAGCTTAAGATCTCTCGCATTTAATCCGCTGTAGAATTATGTGTACAAATTTGACAAAAATGAATCCTAATACTCGTCTCGTATATATCTAGATGGAATCAGCGCTGTGGCGGTGGCTTGGGCTTCGGTATTTTGGCCAGCAGCATTTGTATTTCGTCCTTCTCCTTCCAGTCCTTCCACATCTCGTACAGATTGACAATGGCCCGCACAATCTCCTGCACCTTGTCGAGGTCCACATTGAGCTCCGCAAACCACTGCTTCGTGGAGTCCTTTTGCAGTATAACGCAGGCAATCTGCAGGCAGGCAATGGCAATCTGAAAGAGTAGAGATAATCGGTTGAGACCTTCTGCGGATGGGAAGAGTTGCATGCTGCTACCTGATAGGGCGGATAGAGCAGACAGACGTCGGTGCGCAGGGAATCGTTGACGATGCGCCAGCTGAGCGTGAGCAACTGGTCCTCCTGGCCCATGTCCTGCACGAGCTGGAGCAGCGGTCGGTATGGCTGGTACACAATCAGGCAGCAGTCGAGATTCTCCAGCAGGTAAAACTCGCACTCCAGGATGTGATTGGTGCGGTAGGGAAACTCCTGCGTGTAGGCATAGCTGAACTTGGTCTTGATGGCCGACTGGCAGATGGATATCAGCCGGGAGTTGGATATGACGCCGAACTCCTCCACCTTGGAGGCGAGCAGTATGCAGGTGGGGGCCAGCAGCAGCGGATCAATGTTCTTCAGCGAATTCCTTGCATAGAAACGCTTAAAGTACACCGTGGCAGTGGCTATCACCTGCTGGCGCAGCTTCAGCTGTTCGCCCAGCACCTGGATCACGTTGGCGAAGAATATGAACACCTTCTGGTACTCGTCCTCGTTCAGGGATAGCAAATCGTGCTGACGCTCCCGCAGCAAATCCTGTTTGTCCAGTATCCACTGCTGCGAGTGCGAGCTTTGCCAAAAGTTTCCCGCCATTTAACTGAGAGTAGGCTGTGTGGCGCAAATCAACTCGAATGAAATGTACTTCTTGTTGGCCTATAATCAAAATTATATGTTTTCGAGCAACAAAACCGACACCAAAACAAAAAGAAAATTTGATTTTTGGAAACAGTGTTGAACACCGCGCATTGTTCCGATCCAGCCCTGACAGCTGTTCGAGCGCAGCCAACTTCACGCCACCCTGTGAATGAGTGTGAGGTCGTGTGTGTGTGAATTTTCATCAGCGCCAAAGGCAAACGTTTGAGAAGTAATTTTAAGTTAATAAGAATTCAACGATATAAACAAACGATGGCGTTGCGTGTTCTTGGAGTAACGCAGAATATGCGCTCGTTCCTGCGAGGCGTTGACCTCATCAAGGTAATTCCCACAGCCCGTTCGATTACGCTGACCAGGATACAAATTACGTAATTTGAATGCCCATCGACGGCACTTGCACTTGTTTCCGCGCAGTGTGTCGCTCCCAGCTGTGTCGCCTGCCCACTGTCCAGGCAGCCCACCCAGTTTATTTCGCAGAAAATACACAACTTCTTTGTGGAAAATTTCTGTGTTGTTGAATGAACTTTGAGGTTATGACTATTAACTAATCTTTTTTGCGGTCGTTTTACTCGATCCCGCAGCGCTACAAGTCGGCGGCCACTCTGCAGAAGACTCTGCTAAACATACCCGCCACCCAGGTGACCAAGCTGGACAACGGTCTGCGCGTCGCTAGCGAGGATTCTGGCGCCTCCACCGCCACCGTCGGCCTCTGGATCGATGCTGGCTCCCGTTCCGAGAACGAGAGGAACAACGGTGTGGCCCACTTCCTGGAGCACATGGCCTTCAAGGTGAGCTTTCCCCCGCAACACTTTGCCGCATTTTATATAATCTTTTTTTGTGTGTGTTTTTTAGGGCACCGCCAAGCGCTCCCAGACCGACCTGGAGCTGGAGGTTGAGAATTTGGGCGCTCATCTGAATGCGTACACGTCTCGCGAGCAGACCGTCTTCTACGCCAAGTGCTTGTCGAAGGACGTGCCGAAGGCCGTTGAGATTCTGGCCGACATTATCCAGAACTCCAAGCTGGGCGAGGCTGAGATTGCACGCGAGCGTTCGGTCATTCTGCGCGAGATGCAGGAGGTGGAGAGCAACCTCCAGGAGGTGGTGTTCGATCACCTGCATGCCACCGCCTACCAAGGCACTCCCCTGGGCCAGACAATCCTTGGACCCACCAAGAACATTCAGTGCGTATAACAAAAACCTTCTGAGGGGTCGGATCCCGTCTCATTGCTCGTTTTTTCGCAGGTCCATTGGCAAATCCGACCTGACCGACTACATCCAGACCCACTACAAGGCCTCGCGCATTGTCCTCGCCGCTGCCGGTGGTGTGAAGCATGACGATTTGGTCAAGCTGGCCGGCTCGAGCCTGGGCAGCCTGGAGGCCAGCACGCTGCCACCAGAGATTACTCCCTGCCGCTTTACCGGCTCTGAGGTGCGCGTTCGTGACGATTCCCTGCCCCTGGCCCATGTGGCTGTCGCCGTTGAGGGCTGCGGCTGGACCGATCAGGACAACATCCCGCTGATGGTGGCCAACACCTTGGTGGGTGCCTGGGATCGCTCTCAGGGCGGTGGAGCCAACAATGCCTCCAACTTGGCCCGTGCCAGCGCCGAGGACAGTGAGTAGATCACAGTAGTAGTAGGATTTATCCCAGAGTTCACACAGTTATGCGTCCCCATCCACAGACCTGTGCCACAGCTTCCAGTCGTTCAATACCTGCTACAAGGACACCGGTCTCTGGGGCATTTACTTCGTGTGCGATCCTCTGCAGTGTGAGGTAAGTCCAAGCCACAGATATCTCTCTCTCATATCTATCCGGATATATAATCATGAGATTGGCATTGGCAGGACATGATCTTCAACATTCAGACAGAGTGGATGCGCCTGTGCACCATGGTCACCGAGGCCGAGGTGGAGCGCGCCAAGAACTTGCTGAAGACCAACATGCTGCTGCAGCTGGACGGCACCACACCCATCTGCGAGGACATTGGCCGCCAGATTCTGTGCTACAATCGTCGCATCCCACTGCACGAGCTGGAGCAGCGCATCGACAATGTCAGCGTGTCGAATGTGCGCGATGTGGCCATGAAGTATATCTACGACAGATGCCCGGCCGTCGCCGCTGTGGGACCCGTCGAGAACCTGCCCGACTACAACAGAATTCGCTCCTCCATGTACTGGTTGAGGGTCTAGGCTCCTCCCCCCCACCACCACTGTTGTTGGACATGTACCGAGTAGCTTAATCCAAGAAAATTGCATGCTAAAATAACAGTAAAGTAAACCGAAAAGATACCTACAATAACATGCCGCCACGCGATCTGTTTTGCTCCATTTGGAGTGGTATTTATTGATGCGAGTAGTTAATCGGAATGCCACTGAGGCCTGGCTGCAGTTCGGCCGGCTCTGTCTGTCCCAGTGCCGGGTCCAGTCCCTGCCAGGTGCGGTCCTCGAACGTCAGCCCCGTGTTGGTCGTCATCAGAGCCATTTTGGCTTGGGTGGCCACAGCCAGCGAGGCAGGATCCCTAGCCGTCTCGAGCGATGCATTGGCCGCACCACCCCGCATGCGACCACTGACCAAGCTGACGTCGTGCTCGGGCACCGCCTGCTCGTCGAAGGCCAGGAAGCTGCGTCCCGCGGGCAACAGCTCCTTGAAATCGGTCACATACGCCTCGGGGTATTTCATGTGCCAGGCGGGGTTCAGCGCCATCTCGGCCTCAAAGACCGAGACAATGGGCTTGTAGTACTCCTTGGAGTTGTACATGTTGTTGAAGGGGCAGCCGATCAGCACGAAGCAATCGATCTCCAGGAAGTTGGCCAGCTTTGCCGGATTGATGCGGCCCACAGAGATCAGCTGCGTCTTGATGCCACGACCCTTGGCCATGGCCTGGAGGCGAGCGACCACATCGAGGTACCCCTCGGCTGTCAGAGTGGCCACGATCAGGCCCAGGGTCTGTGCATCCTTGCACTTTTCGATATAGAAGTAGCGCCTGCGTATGTACTGGGCTGTCAGGGGATTCTTCGCGCTGAGCGTGCCGGAGGCTCCGTCGAAGATGTGCCACTGGAGGGCTGGCGCGGTCAAGGAGAGATTGGCAAAGCGCTGGTTATCGGACCCCACAAAGATGCAGATGCGCTCGCTGGCCGCCTTTGGATGCTGCTTGGTGGCATCCGCATCTCCTTCGGCCAGCGGATACACTTCCAGAACCAGCTCCTTCGGCTGCAGTGCCTCACTGAGCTGTTTGTAGAGACTATTCTCCTCGCCCAGCTGGTCGCGCAAATGGTGATAGCCAATGTCCAGGTAAACACAGACCTCACGCTCCTGGCACGCGGCCTGTAGGGAGGAGGCCAGCTTCTCCATCATCACTGGCACATCGAGAAACAGCTCCGGGTACATGTAGAGCACGGGCAAGCGACTGGCCTTGCTCTGGCAGGCGTTGCCAAAGTGGATTACACTGTCTGCCTCCACGTGAGCGGCTGCTATCTCGTCCACACAACAGCTGCCATATGTGGTGTCTGCCATAATGAACACCTTGACGTCCTCGGGAGCCAGCGATTCCTTCAGGTCAACGCTGATGGCATTGCTGTGCGGCAAATAGTCATCCGGGAATTGCAGGCAGATCTGCAAACGGATAAAATTGGACTTTGATACTGGCTCTGACCAGTCAACTGGAGTGCACTGTCTGTACGAACCCGCTTAAAGCCATTCTGTCGTATCCATCCACTGCTCACTTTTCTGTGAGTTTCATTCCAGATTTGTTCGAATGTGACTTGCTCCTCGGCCCGTACCTCTGTCTCGCGCTCCAGTGCGGCTGTGTCCGAGCTGGAAAATGCAGATGCAGATGCAGCTGATGCAGATGCACTCTCTGTTGTCATGGTGGAATATTTTTTGCTTAAAATCACATAAAATAAACAAAGTTTTCCTTTTTTCGGACTTGGAAATCGAAAACTATCGATAAGAGTGTCGGTAGTATGGATGCAGGGATAGGGATCGGAATATTATTTCCGATTAATTCCCACGAAAATTACAACACTCGAATATTCTGTACGCAGTTCAGTTGATTAAAAGGATACTTAGAGCTCATCAAATTCCATTTTTAAGGTATATTAAAGTACTTTTTAAAGTATACTGAATGGTTCATGATTATTTTCCTCGGTATTTTTGGTATATTTTGATAACGAGAAGGTATTTTTCGGTATATTTCTATAGTTTTGGACGGTATAATTGATCAATAAATCCGCGGTCACACTTGAACGCTGCTTTTTTTCTGTCTCGGTTGTGCAATTTTTATATTGTGTTTTTTCTCTCGTCGTTAAAAGTATAAAATGGAAACAATCATTTTAGATAGTCCCCAAAGGGCTACACCTTTGCCGCAGCGACAGCCAAGGGTAAACAATCCGGCCAATAAAGTTATTGGCAAGCACACTGCGCCCAAGCAAAATAGTGGCTCCGATGGCAGTCCAGCCGAAAAGAAGACACGATTCGGTGGCCCAAACAACCAGAATGGCGGTCCGGCCGGTGGTGGTGGCGCTGGCCAGAATCAGAACAAGAATTTCGGAAACAAGGGTGGATTCGGCGGCAATAATCGCAATCGCCGTGGAGGAAACCAAAATAGACAAAATGTGCAGGGTCCAAATAACGCAAATGTAAGTGAAAAACTGATCAGAATATCCCCTCCCCCCTATCTCTTGTATGTACACCACCACACATAAATGGGTTTATGTCTATGAAAGAAATAAAAAAAATGGACCGGTTCATTCTGTGCATTTGTTAGATGTGATTCCATGCATACACATGTATGTACGCCAAGGTGGCTGCAAAATGAACAAAAAAATAAACAACCCTTTGGTAGCAATACCGCGTATAAATATACATACATATTCATATATATGTGCTGCAGTTTGTGCATGTATTACAGCATTTTGAGAATTAATTAAAAACATTCAGTACACATTTATGTACTTACATTCCCATTTTTAACAATTGTTATAGTTTTAATTGCTCAAACAAATATGTATGTACTGGGTATTATTCATAACAGAATGGTTTTTGTTTAAACATTCAAAAGTTCATTACTCTCATTCAAAAAAAAAGTATGTATACATGCATAAGTCATTATTTTTTTTGTTGGGAAAGGCTTATAGACCAGCCATCTAAAAATGAATATGACTATATTATATCCACAATCTACAGAGTCATTGTTTGTAGAAGAACACTTTTGGGGGTGTTTAATATTTAACTTTTTTTGGGTGATGCTAAAATCGCTATAATTCGAAGCGATAATTTGAATTTTTTTTTTAAATGATCTTGTGAATGGTGGTCCTGGCTTTGTAATTGGAGCGGTGACTTTTCGCAGGCTTAATCACTGGCTACATGAGGCTGTTGCAGCCTGGCACCATTGGTCCGGAATTTTGTATACTATTTATTTATAAGTGGACATTTATTTAGGCACCAGGCACCTGGTGCCACTGCAGCCCCCGTGTAGAGGCAGTGGCCTTTACCCAACACTGTATACACTGTCGCTAAAGTAGCGGTATTCTATGGATTTTTTATTGCGAATCTCAAGGAGAAAGGGCAACAACAAAATTGAATGAATGTGGATTTGAACTTGCCGAAAGTTGGCCCCTTTGCGGGACCAATACTTCATTTATTTAGCTGGGAAATATTTTATGAAAGTCAAACGATCGTTTACCGATGTGTATCGAACCTAATGTAATCATTGGAAGAGTATTTTTACAGTTTTTACATATGCCTATTTTATAAGGATCTATTGTTCGAATGATGTTTTCGATGCCAACTATGTACACATATGGATATAGTGCTGCCAGTCAGGCTAATTTCTGAAAAATGTGTGTTATCTCTCTCTGAAAGGGTAAACAAATGAATTATTTTCGGATGTAGAAGCACCATTTCTTTGGTACCATGGGTACCAAATGAAATCAAATGGTAATCCGGGGTTAAGGGATTTTGCCTTTTATTGTACGTAATTTTTGGAGGCTACTCACGAAAAATAATTAGCCAACATAAATAAGCTCTTTAATTAAACATGCATTATTATTGCATTATTTATGCGACGGCCAAGAAATGCCACCTTGCTGGGATTGTTTATTGTAACACACACGATTTATTCTCAAACGTAGTAAATATACAAAAAAATTTCATAAAAATCGGTCGAGCCGATTCGCAGGAGTTTAACGACAATCACTGGGACACGAGATTTTTTAATACTATACTAGATATTCTACCCTATACACATACATACGCACATCCATGACTGGATGCAATCCATCTCTGCAGTGACAGTACCAGTCCCCCAGAACGTTCAGCTGTGTCCCTAAAAAAAAAAAATCCCTGCTTCTTGGAGGCTAATTGATTCGTTCTTTGCCGGGGGACGAGACGCACTGCAGATTGGGGGTCCAGACATATCCGTGCGTATCTTCCACAGCCTTTTCATCATTCTTCTTATACTGATTTGAATATATATATATAAAACAAATATAGCAAAAGTCTACTACTAATGAAGCAGTCAAGCCGGACGCCGCAAATGTCGCTGAGAAAGTTAATGAACCGGTGGCTGCAAATCAGCAGCCAGCTCCCAATGCATAACCAAGGTCCAGGGCATGGTCAAGGACAAGGGCAAGGTGGTTTCCGCGGTGGTCCTCGCGGCGGTGGCCACAACCAACAAGGAGGTGGTGGCGGCGGCAATCATCCAGGAGTCGGTAACATTCAGCCAGGAGGTGGTGGCAGTGGCAATCATCCAGGAGTCGGTAACATTCATCCAGGCGGTGGTAACATTCATCCAGGCGGTGGTAGCAATCATCCAGGTGTTGGTGGCAGTCACCAGGGAGGCGGCGGAGGAGGTGGACGTGGACAGCAGCAGCAGCAGCGTGATCGCGGTAATCGCGGCGGCGGCGGTCAACGTTCTGGCGGGGGCCAAGGTGGACCCAACATGAGCATGATGGGCGGTGGCGGTCCACGCGGTGGTGGCGGCGGCGGCGGGGATGATTTCTTTATTGGCCAACGTCTGCGGGCCATTACTGGGCCCACACTGGAACTGCCACCCGTGGAGTTGCCCGAGGAGACCAAATTCTCTGGCCGTAACCGTCTGTATGTGGGCAATCTCACCGCCGACATAACCGACAATGAGCTGCGCGAAATGTTTAAGCCTTTCGGCGAGATTGGCGAAATATTCTCCAACATTGAGAAGAACTTCACCTTCCTTAAGGTCGACTATCATGTGAATGCCGAGAAGGCCAAGCGCGCCTTGGACGGTTCCATGCGCAAAGGGCGCCAGCTACGCGTCCGTTTTGCACCCAATGCAACCATCTTGCGCGTGAGCAACCTCACGCCGTTCGTTTCCAACGAGTTGCTGTACAAATCTTTCGAGATATTCGGCCCCCTCGAACGGGCCAGCATAACCGTCGACGATCGCGGCAAGCATTTGGGCGAGGGTATCGTTGAGTTTGCTAAGAAGTCTTCGGCCAGTGCCTGTCTGCGTTTGTGCAATGAGAAGTGCTTCTTTTTGACGGCCTCACTGCGCCCCTGCCTGGTGGAGCCCATGGATGTGAATGACGACAACGATGGCCTGCCCGAGAAGGCTCTCAACAAGAAGCTGCAGGACTTCAACCAGGAGCGCAGCGTTGGTCCGCGCTTTGCAGATCTTAATTCGTTTGAGCACGAGTACGGCTCCCGCTGGAAGCAGCTGCACGATCTCTACAAGAGCAAGCAGGACGCCCTTAAGCGTGAGCTCAAAATGGAAGAAGACAAGCTGGATGCTCAGATGGAGTACGCTCGCTATGAGAAAGAGACTGAGCTCCTGCGTCAAGGTCAGTATTATCACAATGGTGGGGTGGGGGGATTAACACAAAAAGAAAAAAAAACTTCAGCTGGGCCGAAGCTTTCCATCAAATACTTTGATTTTGTTCCATTCTCCTCTATTGTATCGCATGCCTTTTACTTGGTAGCCCTGTGCGTGGTGTGGATGCATCTGCATCTAATCTCCGTGTTTCTCTCTCACTTTTGATCGTCTAACAAAAGAGTATTTTATTTATATTTGGCTTAGGACAAGTCTTTAGTCTAAATATACGGACTATGGCGGCGTGTTACATTTACATTTCTTTGTGCAGATTAATTGTTGTGCATACAACAGGGGTGTGGGACATAGAATATATAGTTTTCCAGCATTATTTTACATCACTGCTCCAATATCAACACATTCCATATTTTCAGAATGATGTTGATTCCACTGTTCCACTGTTATCGATTTGTGGCGTTAACGCAATAACGCAGAATTAGCGTTTACATTTGTCATAAATTTGAGCAATTACTCAGCTGTATTGCTCTATGAAAACAGTTGATTAGTGAGTTTCCTTGTAGTTTTCTGTGAAGTATTTAATTGTGAATTGCGGCAGACTGCAAACCACGAAAACTATCTATTTCCTCTTGAAGATATATCGGAAGTGGGTGGTACACAAAAATTTAGATCTAATCACTTATCTAAGGAAACGATGAAACTAAAAGTATTTTTTTTAAGGATATATATATTTATATATACTTCATTTTTTCCACCGGCATAAACTACTGGGGGGTTACGCTATTTATTTTTTTGATTTGATACGCTAACAAGATAGGCAGAAAAGGCCAGAGGCAATATTCGGCTAAATCAAATAAACGCAGCTGCGTTAACGTGCAAACTTGCAAACAAACGAAATTACGCTTGATTTTGCATTGATAATTGTCTCTTATTTTTTGTCTATCACAAATAAATATAGCCATTCGCTTATGGGCACTTTTGTGAAAAGTAAACCAACGTCATTCCATGAATGTATCGTGCGCAAATGGACTTAGAATATTATAATGCTTCAGGTTATAAGCTGCTGAAATGTTGAATTTATCCAAGACCTAAGCAAGTGTTTCTTCTACTGTGGGGTGGGGTGGCAATTGTTTCTTAAAAACAAGAGCTGATGTTCCATTCGAAATGTATGGCTTGTGGGAAAAATATTCTCTGAAAGATATTTTGTTGTCGTCCTTTGAGGTTTAATTCTGCCAAAAAAAAAAACAAGCGTTTTTCTTGTTCCTTAGGAGGCAATGATCGTGGCAGATCATGGCCATTATATTTTATATACCTTTGCCCTAATAGTGTGTGTGTATTTCCCTTAGAGCTGAGAAAGCGCGAAGTGGACAATGAACGCAAGAAGATGGAACGGGAAATGCGCGAGAAGCAGGCTGAGGAAATGCGCCAGCGTGAGGAGGAGACTATGCGTCGCCATCAGACCGATATGCAGTCACGCATGGTGCGTCAGGAGGAGGATATGCGTCGTCGCCAGCAGGAGAACACATTGTTCATACAGGCACAGCAGCTGAATTCGCTGCTCGATCAGCAGGAGGGCTTCGGCGGCAATGACTCTGGCTTTGACAATTTTGGAGGCAATAGCAATTCTCCGTTTGAAGTGTTTAGAGGTATGAAATAAACCAAAGGGAAATAATTGAATGTTCAAAAAGAATCTGTAATAAATATTGTGTTTTTTTCTCTACTTAGGAAACAATAACAATTCAACCATGACTGGAAATAACTCCGGACCCAACAACCAGGTATGTACAGGGCTCCCAACCACAGAGACTTCTTAGTCCGGTCAAAAACCCTGTGGCAAAGAGTTTTCTCTTTCCCAAAGATTTTCTCTAAACATCCATTTTGTGGGAGCATATAGTCTATTAAGATTCAAGGCATCGGTGGCTCGGTAGATCTGTTCTTTGTCTGGGTTCTGTTCAGGCCATTATAGTATCCATAAACTGGGATTCAGGGTCTTATATGTGGCTAAAGGAACTCACTTTAACAATTATATTCCCTTATTTGAATAGGAATCCTTCGGTTTTGAATTTGGAGCTAACAATATGAACCAAGGAGGCAATCAGCGTGGAAATAACGGCGGAGGAAATAATGTCCCATGGGGACGTCGTCGTTTTTAAGACAAAAACACTACTGGATTAATCATGTAAACATATACACACACAAAAATCGGATGATAGATTTAAACAATTGACTTTTTCACTCACTTCGCGAGTGAAATAAATGAAACATGAAAACATGAACTCTGTCTTTAATGTACTCATATTTATAAATATGCTTTAATTTAAAATATTGTCACACGATTCCCAAAAAAAAAAACCATAAAATATCGATTGATTGGATAATAATCAAGAAATGAAGAAGAAACGCATGGAAGAAATCCCCTGAAGCAGTATTCCCATCAACTCTTAGCCATTATGTACATAGATTTAATCATACAATAATTTTAGAGATATGTAGACACTATTTCTGCAGTATGTCTACCTTTCTTCTTTTTTTTTTTCTTGTATATCATTCGATTCAAATATATATAATGATATATACAAATTCGACTATTGAATTTCAAGATGTTTATCAACTGATTATGATAATTTCCATACATAAATGTACACACACGTGGAATGTGAATGGTGGGTGAGTGGTGAGTATTATACATATGTATGTATTCATGGGAGGGCTGTGACACTGCAATAATATTCTCTTTACAAATGGCATCATTTTGTCATTTTTCTTTTTCACCATATCTTCGATTTTTGTCTGATTATAGGGTAAATTAATTACCATGCGAATAATTGGACTTTTTAATTATATATGTTTTCATTTTGTCATTGGAAATGCCCATATCTATGGCGTACGCCAAGTTTTCTCAACGGAAATTTGGGTGCTAATTGTATATTAACTTTGAGGAGATCTGCTCAGATCGCTTCAAGAAAGAATATGATTTCTTTAGAATATATTTAAAAACTAAACGAGTTAATAAAATAATACAATTTCAAGAGATTTGTACAGCTGCATGGATATATAAATCTACCTACTGTAAAGATGCATTCTGGCGCGTTCTGTTGAACGCCTTTGATACATGCCTTATTATCGCGACGTCGCTAGTATAATCGGCTCAGAACCTATCGATATTGGTAATTCTTCGGGACTTCTACCAAAAAACAATCAAGTCAAAGTGGGATAATTCTTAGTAAAGCCTAGTACTCAGATCCTGGCAGAAGCAGGGATAGTATTCGGATGAAACCGTTAAAAAACTTGGCCGCAGACGCCAAGGGGACTGGTGAGCGCATAATCCATTTTAATAACAAGGCATCTGAATTTCATAAGCGAATTGTTATGACTCAGTTATCTACACGTCAGCTTGTGGGGAACGATTAGGCCAAACAAAAGACTCTGCCTCAGGGGCAATCACAGACATAAATTCGATTCAGTTGCAGTTGCCAGACTATCGAGTCCGGTCGCATGTAAGAGCAGCTGTGACAAGACCAATACGCGGAGTCCTGCACCGTTTGCAAACATTTGTGGTTAATTGAAACATAGATTTGGTTTGGTTTATTTGCAGATTCTCCAAGGCCAAGCGTACAAGTCAAGAGTTTGCATATTTTCATGAGCATTTTCCGACTCGGATTTGAACTGTTATAAATCCAAAGCCAAGCAAGAAAACCAGCAGCAGCACTTCTTCAAGCTATAGAATTGAAAGACAAGCTAACGACTATGGGAAATGTATTCGGCAATCTATTTAATGGCCTCTTTGGCAAAAAGGAAGCGAGAATATTGATGGTCGGTTTGGATGCCGCTGGTAAAACCACAGTTCTGTACAAACTCAAATTAGGCGAAATTGTTACAACGATACCTACCATTGGTGAGTAAAACTAGCTAGCAATTCTCGGTATTATCGGTACTCAATCTATATGTTTTATTCTCCTCTCGCTCCACTCTTTCTAGGTTTCAATGTGGAGACTGTAGAATACAAGAATATTAAATTTACAGTGTGGGATGTGGGCGGTCAAGCCAGAATTCGTAAAATGTGGAGGCATTACTGCGTGAATACACAAGTAAGTGGAATCTCGGATTTCGGCATTTATTTCGACGATTATTGCTATAATTCTCGTTTCTTGTTCCCATTACAGAGTCTTATCTTCGTTGTGGACAGCAATGACCGGGATCGTATTGATGAGGCGAGAGAGGAATTGATGAGCATGCTAGCGGAGCACGAGTTTCAAGTCTTACTAATATTCTCCAACAAACAGGTAAGCATGTAAAGCAGAGACAAACCAAACACATATATTTATACGGTTTTCGTTGACGTGGCCCAGAATCTCCTCTAAGATGATGCTATTATATATATTATGATTACCTAAAGTTATTTTTGCTTCAAGACGGGACTGATATGTCAATTATTGACAGGAATACTTTATATCCATTATTGAAAATCGTTAAAAATTAAAATTTTTTGTTGAATCTTTTTAGGATCTACCGAATGCAATGAATGCGGCTGAAATGACCGACAAGCTCGGTTTGAACGCACTCATAAACCAAAACTGGTACATTCAAGCGACGTGTGCAACTAACGGCGATGGACTCTACGAAGGACTCGACTGGCTGTCCAATCAGCTCAAGCATGTTAATCGCTAATTAAACCAACACATAAACTACAAACACAACATGAAAAATACACAAGCAATGCAGCAGCAGAGAGAATGAAAAACCACAGCAGCAGCAAAAGCAAAAGCCTATCTTCGCATAATTTAAAAGGCTCTTCTCCTTCGTTTTTATTTACAAAACAAGAACGGGATATTTCTCAACGAGTTGCCAGAACAGAAAATTTCAAGCAGCATATAAAAGAACGCTACCAGTTTCGTTTTAGATTAGTATTTAAATTTTAAAAGTTTATTAACAATAGTTCTTGTGCTGATCAAACTAAAAAGTGTATTATCGTGAAATTATTATCAAAGAATTAAATTAAATTTATTAAATAAATTAAATTAAATTAAATTATTTACTTTACAACTGTTTTTCACAAATGTACATGTGTTTTTGCGAAAAATTCAAATCGTTCATTCCATTTGCCAGTTATCTGGGGCTGCTCTCCATTTCAAGAAATTTGCCTTCTTTCCAGTGGTACTCGACATAAATACCCCTTCATTTTCAATATCATCAATGTGCAGCCAGTAGTAGTAATTGTCGTCTATATTCTTTTCCACTAATTGCATCTCCTTCTTGTTCTGCAGGCTAGCCAGGTGGCCGCCCAACTCTTGACATCTATCCCGGGCATCTGACCAGTTTAGTTTCTCATTCTTCTCAAAATAATAATATTTTCAGCCGAGTTTTTGAAATGTTACGTGTCGGTTGTTCTACAGTGTCTTTAGCATTGACTCGGACTCTTCGATGGTTGCCTCATGGGTAGAAATTTTATCCTGTTGGTTCGTCAATTCATCCTGTACCTTGGCCAGTCTGGTCTCTGAATCCAAATGGTTATTTTCATAGCTTACAAGCTTCGTTTCATGGCCTGCAAATTGATTTTTCAGTCCGTTAGTACCTCTGTCAGATTATTTCCCTTCGACTCGATATTGCCTGTCAGCTAAATCTTTTTCTATATTGCCAAGTTGCTCTTTGATGTTGTCGGCTTCAGAGAGATATTTCAATTGTTGGTCAGCTAATTGTTCCTTTATTCCGCTTAGCACATCAGCAAATCGGCTACCATTTGAAGTAGAAACGGGTTCTTCTTGTCCTGAGTTCTGTTTCTCAAGTTCCTCTAATAAATCCTGTAAATCGTCTGAATACGTATGGTTCTTGCCTCGGTGTGCCAACTGGACCGATACAACCTTCGACTGCTCGACGTCGATCTTCTTCTCTATTTGTGCCAGTCTCTGAATAATTTGGAGAGCACCCAACACCAGCTGTCGTTGTTTGCCTTCTAACTTTTCAAGTCTCTCAATGACTGAGCTTTCGACCAAAGCAGCACTCTCCTGCTGCTCTTTGATTTGTTTCTCTAGACCACCCAGTCTTTTGCTCAACCTGCCTACATATATCAGAATCGTTCCTTTCCAAAGCTTGGCGTTCAGTCAATTTATGTTCTATACTGTCTGGTCTTGCCATTCTGGATTCGATTGCCTGCAGTGTTTGTTTGTTGACTAGGTTTTGAGCCCAATCCTGTTGGGTTATTTTCCATGTTATTAATTTGCAGTTGCATCATAAGCTGTTGATCCAAGACTGATTTGATTAATTCGGAGCAGAAGTCTGAGCAGCCAGCAATTGGATCCACCTGTGATTACGTTTATTGAATATTCTCGCTGTCTTCAATTTCTCCTACTCTAATATACGAGTACTTACCAAACTTTTTGCCAGGGATCCCTGCAAGAATAACCCAAGGAGAAAAAATGCAATAATGAAGCTCATTATTCCATCGTTTCTGTCTTACAATTGTTTCAAAAATGTTTCAGGAAATTATCGGATATTGGATAGCGTCGTATGACGCTCAACCGTGATTCCGTTGTCATAAACAGGAGCTTTGAATCTACAGCAACACTCTACACTTTTTTATCAGCTGAATATTCAATTTCTGGTTCGTACTCTAATACGAAACGAAGGAACGAAGCGGATTGTTTTCGGTCTTTTTCTCTGATAGTGTAAATTATGTACCGTTTCAATACTTGAGACATAAAAAAACATATACTCAGCATTAATGCTGTAAGTCTTTAAGTTCTTCAAAAAGTAACCAGAAATATGTATATAAACACGATCAGAATTATTTGTTTTAGACATTTATTTAAATTTTATAAGTTTAGTAACAATCATTCTTGCGATAATCAAATTCAAAAATCTTTACGTATTTGTAGAACTTGGAATGCATATAGGGCTTCAAGGTGTATGCTTTTATTTATTTAAAGCAAAATTATTTACTTTAAAACTCTTTTTCACAAATGTACATTTGTTTTTCCGAACAATCCGAATCGTTCATTCCTATTAGTTTTTCACCCAAGGCATATGCTACTTCTAAACAATCTTCTTCACCAAGCCAGTTATCTGGAGCTCTTCTCCATTTCAAGAAATTCGCCTTCTTCCCAGTAGTACTCGACATAAATACCCCTTCATTTTCAATATCATTAATATCCAACCAGTATTAGCTGTCGTTTATATCCCGTGTCACTAAAAAGGTATACTCCTGCTTGTTCTGCGGGCTAGCCAGGTGGCCGCCCAATTCTTGGCATCTATCCCGGGCATCTGCCCAGTTTAGTTGTTATCCCTTTTCAAAATTGATCCGAATTTTTTGAGCCGAGTTTCACATTTGTTTCTGGCTGCCGAGAGTAGCGTTGGTTAGTCATTTGATCCTGTGGTTGGTCTAATCCAATTGTTTATTTTCATAGCTTTCAAGCTTCGTTTCGTGGCCTGCTAATTGATTTTTCAGTCCGTTTAGTACCTCTGTCAGATTACTTCCCTTCGACTCGATATTAAGTTGCTTGTCAGCTAAATCTTTTTCTATGGCGTCAAATCGCTCTTTGATCTTGGCGGCTTCAGAGAGATGTTTCAATTGTAGGTCAGCAAATTGTTCCTTTATTCCGCTTAGACCATCAGCGAATCTATTATTTGAAGTTATGATTTCTTGTTGCCCCAACAGCACTTTCTCAATGTTGTACAGTCTCTTGATAACTGAGATTTCACCCAAAGTAGAAACGGTGTCAACTTGTCCTGCGTTCCGTTTCTCTAATACCTCTACTCTATCCCGCAAATCGTCTAAGTACAAAGTGATCTTGCGTTGGTGTGCCAGCGCTCGCCCTACCCCTTCTGGTTCCTGTGGCAACTGGTCCGATTTGTTTGACTTGAACTGCTCGACGGCTATCTGATGGTCTATTTGTGCTAGTCTCTCAAAAATTTGATGAGCACCCGACACCAGCTGTCGTTGTTTGGCTTCTAATTTTTCAAATCTCTCTGAGGCGGAGCAGAAGTCTGTGCAGCCAGCAATTGGATCCACCTGGGATTGAATATTCTCGCTTTTTTCGATTGCTCCTACTCTAATATAAGAATACTTACCAAACTTTTCGCCTGGGATCCCTGCGAGAATAACCCAAGGAAAAAAAAAGCAATAATGAAGCTCATTTTTATCAGTTGTTTAGTTCAACAATTCAAATACAAGACTGAAGAGCATTAAGACTTGGGAGATGTTTAAGTAGGGGATCTGAAGACTTGTTATCAAGAAGAAAAAAATTAGCAAGGCCAGGAAAAGGCAAGGAGGACTCATATCGTAAATGGGTCGTCAGTGAATACTTAAAAACAATGATAAGAACAACATATATTTAAATATATTTCAAACTTCAAAACCCCCTTATTCGCTTTCCGCATTCTTTTCGGTCTTCGTTTTGCATTTGTCTAATTCGGGGAAGTCCAAAAATTAATTTCGTTGCGTTTGCAATACATGCCAGCGCTTGCGTCAGCTGCTGCAGTCATTTAAAGTAGAAAGTTTTTGAAATTCGGACGCAGTAAATATTTAAAAATAACGGCAAATAAAAAAAAAATAATTTTCCCCCCCCCCCCCCCCCCCCCCCCCCCCCCCCCCCCCCCCCCCTTTTTTTTTTGCCCCCTTCCCAATGGCCAAAAATGCTGATCGCCATCACAACTCTAGCTCAATTTGGACTCTTAGCTAACCAGATGCTCGCCAACGATCTGCAACAGTTGTCTCAGATCTTCGTCGGCAACACGATTCGTGAGAGATTTATAAATATTTCTTTACCGATCAACAGATATGTTTTGGTTTAATCGCGCAATATATTCTCAATATCTCAATACGTCTGAATAAAATCAGATTGCATTTTTCCGGCTTAATTCTTGAGTTAAATTGAATTGTCCTTTTTGTAGAATTCAAGGAGATCGAAGCGGTTGGCACTACCGATTGTTTCTTGGCGAAAACATCGATAGGAAACAGTACTCTTCTTATTGATGATGAAATCAATAAAAAAAACAATATAATAAATAAAAAAAATAAGCAACATGGCCATTCAGTCAGTAAAGAGTAAAAGACATTTGCCTTCAATGCAATATTTTCGCCATAATCGCCAAAAAATATCACATATCAAATCAAATAAACATCGATATACACCTAGTGTAGCCGTATTCGGCAAACAGAAAAATCTAACAACAAAATAACTTTAGACATCCCTTTCAGACCGAACAAAAAATTCTTGAAGCCCGACATATTTTATTTTCAACTCAAGGCGTCGACTACGAGACAAAAGCGCGCGCACAACGAGTCAAACAAACAAGCTAGATAAACAGCATAAAATATAAAATAGATATTCGACTGATTTGGCCGCTTGCAAGCCGAAACAAAAATGGATGACTCACGCGAAGAAAGCCAGTTCATAGTGGATGATGTGAGCAAGACGATTAAGGAGGCCATCGAGACCACCATCGGGGGCAATGCGTACCAGCACGACAAAGTGAATAACTGGACCGGCCAGGTGGTGGAGAACTGCCTGACGGTGCTCACCAAGGAGCAGAAGCCCTACAAATACATTGTCACGGCCATGATCATGCAGAAGAATGGAGCCGGACTGCACACGGCCAGCTCCTGCTACTGGAACAACGATACAGACGGCAGCTGCACAGTGCGCTGGGAAAACAAGACCATGTACTGCATCGTGTCCGTCTTTGGCCTGGCCGTTTAGACGCGATTCGCGGATGCCAACCAAGAAGCAACATAGAAATCACACAACTAACTATTAAGGGGGAGGGATTAACAAGATTGCCGCCGTACATAATTTTTCCAGCACAGCATTCAAACACGGACACGGACACAGACACTGAGACAACAACAGATACGCCCGCAGCCACGCAGTACACACGGCCATCCTACGGACCAGGACCAGGCCCCGACAATGAAGGAGTTACGTACTACACTTAAACACGCAGGATTATAACCAATAACCAATCCAGCATTATGTTTTCTCGATTGGAGCGAGCCATCCTGCACGTGTTGGAGGTGTACGCGCGAGAGAAATTCTTTAATTAAAGCCTAAATAATGTAATGTAAAAATAAACTTTATTGTGACGACCTTGACCGGCCGGCCACCCAAAAGTTGTTTAATCGATGTCAAACAGGGTGTTCTACTTCTTGCGTTGGAAGCGGCGGGATGTCGTTAGGGCCGGCACGGTGCTGGGCAGGCGCAGACTGAGCACATCCAAGCGGGCCTTGGGTCGGGCATTGACGATGTGGGCGTAGGACTTGATGCGCTCCTTGGTGGTGCGCAACGTGCGGGACAGCACATTCACATCGACCTCGTACTTGTCGCTGATGAGTAGGGCCAGCACAATGAAGTGGGTGAGCGCCTTCTCCGTGCTGTAGTTGGTGCGGGTGCAGTTCTTGGCCACATTGGGGTCCGCGAAGCGATGCCGTATGTCATTCTCGATCTTCTCCGTGATGCGGGACAGCTCCACGCGCTTCATTTGGCGCGCGCGCATTGCTATCAGCGACTGCAGCGCGTCCATGTAGATGATCAGCTTAATGTGCAGAAAGTCCTGCTTCGAGGTTATCTCCCTATCCTGGATGCGCTTCAGGCAAGTGCGCAGATACTCGGACTCAATGCTGCGGGCGGGGGAGAAGTCTGTTTACTCTGAAGTATATATTGGAATTATAATAATCTACTAACGGCAGTGTCTCTAGCGGTGTGGCGTACACCACCTTGGCTTCCTCATCTAGCCTCTCCAGCAGGTTGGCCGGCACAACGTCCTCCACGTCGAACACCTCACTGATCTTTGTGGCCGTTTTGTCAAACTTGGGCACTATGCTGGCCAAGTACTCCTCGTTGCTGATGCTCACGTCGGCCAGTGTGTCGTCCTCTTCGTCGTCGTTCTGTGCGGCGCCCTGCACTGTTTCGTCCAGGTCTTGACGCAACACTTCCACATTGACCATCATCTTTTCGCGATTGTCCACGAGTCGCGACGCCTTACGGCCGCCGAACTCCTTCAGGAGTTTCTTGGCTGCATGCTCCTTGGTCAGCATTGGCATCACCTTCTGCTTCTCCTTCTGCTCCAGCTGCTGGTATATGTTGTTAGACAGCAGCGCCTGCTGAACGGGAATGATTTGCACCTTGTTGGTGCTCTTGTTGCGCAAGCAGATGTACGTGTCAAATTGCTGGTTATCCTGCAGCTCGCCCGTGTACACCTGGTCGCCTGCAAAGACCGCAGCACGCTTCCGCTTATCCTTTTTGCTCTCCACGACAGTGAAGTCGGCGGTGCCGCCCAAAGAGCCATTCTGAAATTTTACTGCAAAGACGTTGTTACTTCGCCCAGAGATCTTGAAAAATTGTCACTTACGCAATACGGCCTGTTCATCGGGTTGGTGGCGACAAACAGTGTCAACTACGGTTTTATCATCCATTTTAGTGTTATTTTATTTCAAGAATCTGCAGGTAAATAAACAGCCGCACGTGTGTAATGGGGATGGTAGTATTGACAAATCAATATATCGATATCTATTTTTTTGGCAATAATATATTTTTAATCTAACGATAGCTGCATTTTTTTGGGATAAATCATTAACGGAATTACTTATCTGAATTTGGAGGAAGTGTGCACCAGTTTTCTGTTGCTTTACGACGGTTGATTGTACATACCGACTTTTCATACTGTTCATCGATAGGTATCGGTATTTAGTGCGATAAGCGGAACCAATCGGTGGTTTATTTTGAAAATAACAATGTTACGAGAGGTTCAAAATATCAGTTTTCTGTTCAAAATCGTTTGTGAAAATTTATACATAGGCATACAACTTCTGTTTCATTTGTTTTTAATTTTTCACGAACGATATGCCCAAGAATAGCGTTGACAATACGTCCCAGCCAATCGATGTGAAACTTGCCACATTTGCCGACGACACGGCAATCCTGTCAAGGGCCAACTGCGTTTACGACGGACAACCTCCAGCGGCACCTTAAAAGGTTTGAAAACTGGGCATGTAAGTGAAATATCAGTGTGAACCCTGAGAAGTGGTGTGTGTGTGTACTGAAAGGAAAGGAAAGGAATGTGGCCCTGGGGTATTTCTTCATGGCGAGCTGTTGGAGCAGCGGAAGAAACATAAGTACCTGGCAATCACGCTGGACACCCGACTGACCTTTGCCAGCCAACACAAGGATGGTGAGGAGCGCCTTGGAGAGCAAGGCTAGAAAACTCTACTGGCTTCTTAAGCCTAACAACAAGGTCAGCCTGACCAACAAGATCCGCATATATCAGGTAATCCTGGCGCCTGGCGTCTCCTACAGGTGGCCCATAGAGGAGTCGTACAGCGGGTAACAAGATCTGTTGCTTCCCCGCCGTATTGTTTGGCTAATTGCGGTGCTTTAAAAATAGTTATTGTTTATGTGAGGGAAAATGGGAAAAACGTGCGTCCAATGCCGGTGCCGGTGCCACAAACAAAACAAAACAAAACACAGCGGACTCGCATTGGTCTGGCAGCACTCTGAAATAGGGCTACAATAGATGTGCCGGGCCAGAAATGCAACAAAAATGTTGCAGCTGAGTTTGCTGCAGACGTCCACAGGTCTTCGGCTCTCTGGTCGTCATTTTCGGCCCATGACGCGACACGAGCCGAACTTGACAGCAATCTATCAGCGCAAATGTATGTATGTTTTCGTGTAACAGCCAAAAATACATGCACTCAGCATTAATGCTCAACGTCTTTAAGTTCTTCAAAAAGTACCCAGAAATATATATACATATAAACACGATCAGAATTATTTTTTTAGACATTTATTTTAATTTTATAAGTTTAGTAACAATCATTCTTGTGCTAATCAAATTCAAAATCTTTACGTATTTGTAGAACTTGGAATGCAAATAGGGCTTCGGCTTCAAGGTGTATGCTTTTTTTTATTTAAAGCAAAATTATTTACTTTACAACTTTTTTTCACAAATGTACATGTGTTCTTCCGAACAATCCAAATCGTTCATTCCTATTAGTTTTTCACTAAAGACATAGTCTACTTCTACACAATCTTCATTGCCGTTAAAGTTATCCGGAGCTTGTTTCCATTTTAAGAAATTCGCATTCTTCCCAGAAGTACTCGACATAAATACCCCTTCATTTTCAATATCATTAATATCCAACCAGTATTTGCGCTGTTCGTTTATATGCCATGATAAAAAGGTATACTCCTGCTGGTTCTGCGGGCTAGCCAAGTGGCCGCCCATATCTTGGCATATATCCCGAGCATCTGTCCAGTTAAGTTGCTCATTCCCATACAATAATAATATTTTGATCCGAATGATTTTAGAGCCGGCATTGTACATGGCTGCCTCAGTAGATTGGATACTTTTGACTGTTGGTTCGTCAATTGTCTGTAGGTTTGGTCATAGTCCAATTGTTTATTTTCTCCATTTATAAGCTTCGTTTCGTGGCCTGCCAATTGATTTTTCAGTCCGTTTAGTACCTCTGTCAGATTACTTCCCTTCGACTCGATATTAAGTTGCTTGTCAGCTAAATCTTTTTCTATGGCGTCAAATTGCTCTTTGATCTTGGCGGCTTCAGAGAGATGTTTCAATTGTTGGTCAGCCAATTGTTCCTTTATTCCGCTTAGACCATCAGCGAATCTATTATTTGAAGCTATGATTTCTTGTTGCCCCAACAGCACTTTCTCAATGTTGTACAGTCTCTAGATACTGGTCCAAAGAAACGGGACTTCTTGTCCTGGTTTCCTTTTACTATCCCGCAAAGTCAAGTCAAAGGTCCTGGTGTGCCTCGCCCTACCCCTCTGGTTCTGCCTGCGCCTCTTCTAGGCTGATCGCTTGTCTAAGCCATCCCTCTGCTGCTGCTCTGTAATTTGTTTCTCTAGACCACCCAGTCTTTCGTTCAACCCGCTTATAAAAGTATCGTTCCTTTCAATGCCTGGGTATTCATGTAGTTTATGTGCTACACTGTCTAGTCTTGCCATTCTGGATTCGATTGCCTCTAGTGTTTGTCTGTTCTTCAGTTTTTCTTGACTCGCTACATTAACTAGATTTTGAACCCATTCCTGTTGGGTCTTTAAATTAGTTTCCATGTTATTAATTAGCTTTTGCATAATAAGCTGTTGATCCAAGAATGAATTATTGGGTTCGGAGCAGATGCCTGTGCAGCCAGCAATTGGTTCCTCCTATGATTTTGGTTATTGAACATTCTCGCTGTTTTAGATTTCTCCTACTCTAATGTAAGAGTACTTACCAAACTTTTCGCCAGGGATGCCTGCGAGAGTAACCCAAGGAGAAAAAATGCAATAATGAAGCTCATTTTGATCATTTGTTTAGTTCAACAATTCAAATACAAGACTGAAGAGCATTGAGACTTGGGAGATGTTTAAGTAGTGGACTTGTGGGCTTTTTATCAAGAAGAAACAAGTGAGCACAGATTTCAGAGTAGACGTATACCATGATAACCCATGGCCCATTAAGTCATTGCCCTGCCAGACACCCATACACCCATACACCCAGCCTTAGTTCGAATTTGGTTTGTGACAATGCTAAGAAAAATGAAATCGCTCGGAATTCTGTGGCACGGCAGAAATTTTGAAGCGGAAATCCTCTGCGCGGCTTCCCATTTCACTAGTGATTTCTGTGGCACCCCTGATAAATTCAACATAGTCCCACAAATCATGAAGTGTTGTTTATATAATATGGCTGTTATTATAATAGATAGATAGATATAATAGATAATTCTGACCAATATATAGCGCCTTGGAGAGCAAGGCTAGAAAACTCTACTGGCTTCTTAAGCCTAACAACAAGCTCAGCCTGGCCAACAAGATCCGCATATATAAGGTAATCCTGGCGCCTGCATGGAGGTATGGCATCCAGGTATATGATATCGCAGCGAAAACGAACTGAATGCTAAATGGTATGTCCGTTATAGAGACATCGCCAAAGACCTTGGAGTCCCCTCAGTCGGTGACATTATTAACGAACAAGCCACAAGATACTTGACCAAACTAAGGAGCCACCCGAACGTCCTCGCTAGAAGATTGGTAAGGAGCAGAACCAGGCGAAGGTTAAACCGCATCCATCCGTCCGACTTGGCCAACAGGAACATATAAATTATTGTTGCACAATCTCCGTTTTCGTCCGTTGGTCCCGCATTTAACTTAAAATAGTAAATTGTCCTTGACCCTTAACATAAGTTGCTAATCAATAGTAACAGTACGTTAAGTAATTGTACTTTATTGTCTGTGATGATTGTTACAATAAACCTACATAAAAAAACCTAAACAAAAATTAGTTTTTATTTTGTGTCCTAATCTGCTTCAATGCTTTTGACAAAAAAACAGTAGAGCGGGGAAAAGTATTTCTTTTCTGATGATGTCTTAGTTATGTATGTACTTATATTAATTTAAATGTTAGGCCTGTCCAAAGGTCTAGGGATTTCTGATCACTTGAGGATTAAAGCTGAAGCCAGACAATGTGTAATGCTTGCTCTTAACAATCTTCACCACTTGCTGAAATATTTAAAGGTAAATCAAGCAATCCCCTGATTAAGCATTAACATATAGAAGGCGACCTACCATCACCAGCTTGATGAGAAAAACAGCGAAGGTGAGGAAATTAATGCTCAAGATGGCTGTCTCGGGTGGAAAATCTATTGCTGCCTCGTCCATCAGGCCGCGACGCCTGCGTCTCTTCCGCTCCGTTGGCTGCCACAGAACCGCGAAATGTTGCTCTGTCACAAAGTTGGGAGAAATTCAGCTTCGGCAGCAGCTAAACAATAAAAAAAAACTTACCAATCATCAGCATTAGATTGTCGCGCAGGTTCTGCAGGAGTTTGATCTTCTTCTCAATGCTGAGGGCTGACTTCTTGATCCAGCTGTTCTGCATGGATTTGAGAAACTTGAGGAAGCCGTGCATGCCGGGCATCTCAATGTCGCTGTCGTTCTCTCCATCGCCGCTGTCCACCGGCGGCTCTGTAGTCTCTTCCTCCAAATGGTTCTCTGTCGAATGGGACGAGTGTCGCCGCGATGTGGTCTCCACCTTGGGGGTGACCACGACTACAGCCGGAACGGGTGCCTGGGTGGAGCTTCCTAGAATCTGTGAGCTGGTTAAAATGTTCGGATCTCCTGGACCCTGACTGAAACGGATGCGCTGGTACTCAATCCAAGCGGGACTGGGCGTGGTAAAGCCATCCGATTCCTTGCTAGCGGCCATCTGCTGGGCAGTCTCCGCCCACTCTCTATTGCTGAGCGCAAAGAAAAGGAAGAAATTGATTGACAACAGTTGCATCTTCTTGATTTGAACGTTGTGCAAGTACTGCTGGCACGGAGTCAACTGAATGCGGCAGAACTGGGGCTGTGCTCCAAAAAGGGTGTCAGCCGTTGCAAGCCAGCGAGCTGGAGATGTGTGCTGCAGATGTAGATGAAGTTTTAAATACCCTCTCTGGTGTACCCTGATACCCTGATAAATAGTGAAAGTTATTCCCATACGATTCTCTAGCTCTTGTTGTTTTCTATATAAAGGGTAAGCAATTGTTTGCTTTCTTCTCTGGAGAATCAATATACCCTTTAGTTACTTCAATTACTGGGATGTATAGTGCACAGATGAGACACAACACTCAAATGTCAAGTTTGGTGTTTATTCAGCATTAGTTTCTCTTCTTTTCTTTTCTTTTCTTTTCTTTTCTTTTCTTTTCTGTTATCTTTCATTTAATTTGTGTGTGTCAGAAGATCTGAGCTTGTGTGGATTTTCTTTCTTTTTTGTCTTGTTTTTTGTTTTGTTTTTGTTTTATTGATGAATACACGCATGTATTTTGTGTGTGTATATTTGATGTACGTACGTAAGTGTTATTCATAAGAGTTGCCATTAGGTGGTTAACAAATTAAAGCTATCGACTAATTTTGATTCTAGAGAAAAATTTAGCACAGAGAGTTTTTTGTTGTTTGCTTGTTTGTTTGTTTGTTTGTTTGTTTGTTGTTTTAGCATTTATCAAAGTTATATCGATTATGGATAGAAGCAGCAGCGAGAGTGGAAAAACTTACAAGTCTAGGAGAAACATCGAGAGTGCGGGAAGGACAAATAAAAGTGTACACTCAAAGAAACTCATACCCAAAGGTTCAACTTAACATTTACCACCCATCAGAAATGTTAATTTAATTTATAGAATTTACTATTTCAGATTGGAAAGATCTTTTGAAAATATCGATGGAGATGGGCATTGTGGGTATAATTTTCTCCAAGTGCATTATGCAGATAAAACAGCTGCTGCTGCTGTAGCCCCAGGACACGGACACGGACACCCACTCCTATTTGATGTGGCGACAGAAATGGAAGCGCACCCACTTCAGTGCCTTGCCGCTGATGGCCTCCACCTTGGGCGAATTCTCGGACAGACGATGGCAGTCAGCACAGTTGCCTGCGGCTGGATAACTCTCGGTGGTGTTGGTGTTGTTGGTCAGGATGGGGGTGGGCGTGGGCGTGGATTTGGAATTCACTGATTCACACAGGTCACGCGCGGAACCAGGTCACATGTCACCCGCACAGTCCCAGCGTATGTCATCCGCCTCGTGGGTGAGATAACGGCCGCCGCCCACCTGGCTCTCCAGGGTGCGTAGGTCTCGGTAGGTTTGCTTGTCCTGCAGCCAGTAGTGCAGCAGGCTCTTGTCCACAGTGTAGCGCTTTCGCTGCTTCACCTGCAGCAGGTTGTTGATCAGGTCAATGGCTAGGGAAAAGCAGCAGGAAAGGAAGGAAGGAAATAGGACAAAGATCACTCAGTTAGCTCAGGTACCATTTCACTCACCATTGGAGGAGATCTCTTTCCAGGGATTGGGGGGATACATGAAGGCGGCATTCTGTATCTGATCGTTGATGTCCTCCTCCTCGTTGAAGGGAAATGTGCCGCTCAGGCTCACATAGATGATGACGCCCACACTCCACATGTCCAGCGATCGATTGTAGCCCTTGTTCCGGAGCACTTCGGGCGCCAGATAGGCGGGCGTGCCCACCACCGAGCGCCGGAAGGACTTCTCGCCAATGATCCGGGCATAGCCAAAGTCGCAGAGCTTCACCTGCGGAAACTCAGCGTCCGAGGAGAGCAGCACATTCTCCGGCTTCAGGTCGCAGTGGACGATGTTCTGCGAGTGCAGGTACTTGAGGGCAATCAGTATTTGGGTGATGAGAAATTTGGTGACCCGCTCGCTGAGGCGGCCGCGCGTATGCGACAGTATCATCTCGAGCATGTCGCCCTTGAGCTTCTCCATCACCACGAAGATGCGCTCGGGCGTCTCGAACATTCGCTCCAGATTGACGACGCCGCAGTGGCAGATGTTCTGCAGGATGGCCACCTCGTTCTTCAGCTGGGCCTCCTGTTTGGTGGGGAAGCGCAGCTTGTCGATCACCTTGATGGCCACCTCGCGCTTCGTCTTCTTGTGCACGCCGCCGTAGACGACGCCAAACTGACCGGAGCCGAGCACCTCGTCGGGAAAGATCTGATAGAGCTGGCCCATGTCCTGGACCTGCTCCTCCGATTCACAGCATTCTGTGGATGAAGATTGAAGATTGGTTAGTAGCCAGCGAGAGAGTGGAGGCGTGGAGTTTGCGGCTACTCACGTGTGTTGTTCACATGCATAAAGGCCTGCCGGATGCCGGTCTCCCAGCTCTTGGCAATATCGCTGCCGATGCCGCTGTCTGGGGGTGGCAGCCGCACCGCCTGCTCCTCCTTGGCGCCCACCAGCGGATCCTGGCCGACGTAGTAGCTGAGGCTGGGCATGCACAGCTCGAAGCAGTAGTTGGAGTCGGGACGGGGATCGCGATGCGTCTCGATGGACAGGAGCTCCGCCAGCGGCAGCTCCTTGTGGTACTTGCTGCCCTGCTCCGAGACGAACAGCGTGACGGTCTTGGAGTCGAGGCGCCAGTAGTAGCGCTTGACCGCCTTGTCCAGGGAGGTGAAGTGGACCAGCCACCCCTCCTTCAGGGCCTGGCCCCCGCGCTTCTTCGTGTGCTTTACGGACTGCACGATGCGCATCAGCGGTATGTTGGCACTGGGCGAGGATGAGGACGAGGACTGAGACTGCTCCGAGTGCCCATCGCTGGACTTTGTCTCAGCGCCCACGCTGCCGCTGCCACTGCCGCTGCCATCGTCGCCCATCCCCCCGTTGACCAGCTCCGGGGGGGAATTGTGGGCGTTGGTTAGCGCTTTGGGCGGCTCCCTGGGTCTGCCTGCCACCAGATTGACGCCGCCGCCACCCATCGCCCCTTTGCCGTACTTTCCGTAGTCCGGCTGCGGACTGGGCGCGTCCTCAAAGTCGCTGTCGTCGAACTCCTCGCGAAAGAAGTTGTCCCGCTCCTTGCGCGGCGTCCCGTCGCCGATATCCGCCTGCAGCTGCAGCTGGCTGAGCTGCGCCTCCCCCGTGCAGTCCAGCGGCACCTTGTCCATGCACTTCTTGTGCGAATTGTACTGGCAGTCGCGGCACTGCAGCCCCTGCTTGAACAGCCCCTTCAGCAGCTTCTTGCACAGCTGGCACACCGTCGGTATGCCGTAGGTGTGCACCTGGAACGTGTGCGGGATGCGGAGCACAGTCAGCCCGTTTCGGCTGCCCGACGAGTGGGTGCGCTGGTGTCTTCCGGGTATGTTCTGCGGACAGAGAATTAATTAGCAAATTGGATTCCTCTGGAGAAGCGTCTCCATTCGGCAACCCCCGTGGGACTCTGTCCACTGTACTGTGCACCCCAACAAATAGGGGGGGATAATTGACTAGGATGGGACAGGATAGGAGAGGATAAATTATGACAAGGTTCTCTAGGGTTCTCTGGGGAAACGTTTAAGAAGGACAAGCCCAAGGGGATACTCGAGGATTCTTCGGTTGAATTATATGTACAAATAGAGCAATTAGTTGTCCTGTGATAATAGAAATCTCTATCCATCGAGGGAACACAGAGACTAGTCTTAGGCATCCTTACATCCGCCATAAAAGTTTCCCGTACATAGAAAGAAGGGGATAATCTGAAGAATCCCCAGAGAAGGCTGCTCTGTTCTTTAGAGCCATCCTACGAGTATTTAAATAAGTTGATGAACCATTAAATGTGAACCAAATGAAAGTTTATTCAAATAATGAAGAGAATACAAAATAAAAGTTTAAGTACAATTTTTAAATACTCGTAGGGATGCCCCCAAAAACTGTCAACCATCACCCTTAGGCACTATTCTCATACGCGCACCCACACGCAGGCACACACACTCACACACACACACAGATACTCGCACACACGCACTGGGTGAAACGTGGAGGAGGGTTAGGAGAGGAGAGATAGCTGATGCTGAGATGTGCTGCTGTACCCCGAACATGTCAATTCTTAATAATGTCATTCATAAGGTCCGACATGCGCTTTACCAGAGAGCTGCTGGAGTCATTCCGGCCCGTTGACTCCTCGGCGGAGGAGAGCAGCGACTGCTGTGAGCTGCCGGACGGGCTGCGTGGCGGCTGCAGGGTGAAGGAGCGTCTCGATGTGGCGTCATTCGAGCGGTTACAATTGTTCGGTATTTTCACCACACATCGCTTGTGATAGTTCTGGCCGCAGCCTGGCAGATGGCAGAACAGAACAGGATTAGTAGTACTGGCCAAACGAGGGCAGTTCTCATAAATGTGCACACATCTGTGGCATGTGGTGTACGTACCATCGCATTTGAGGCCCTGACGCACCAGGCCGAACAGCATTTCACCGCAGAAATCACAGAATGTCGGCCCCTTGTACGAATGCACATTGAGGCTGTGCGGCTTCAGAGTTGGCATCTCGGACGTCGGATACAGGATGGCTGTTAACAAGCAGATAGCAGGCAGTTGGATAAAGCACAAAGATGGGAGAATGTTTAGGGTTTGGGCACTTACGGCTGGCTGTCAATACAATTTCCACGAGGGTCTCGTCCACCACTTCCGCTGCCGAATTGATAATGTGCAGCACATTGGGTGTGCTGTAGTCGTGCACGAACAGCAGAATCCGCTCCGACAGATACGTGAGTCCGCTATCCGGTATCTGAAATGTTGCCACAAGAGTGTCAAAAGTTTTACTGGCCATGTCCATGTCCATTTGCGATGTTTTGCTTCATTTAACGCTCATTTTTGCATATGTGGTTGGCGGGGAGGGGTGCTGCCCTTGCCCCGCCAATTATCATATCATATTCGTATTCGTTTTCGTATCTTAATTGATTGCCCGATAAGATTCAGCGTTGTGCCATATGCACAAAAATTTCATATCGATTTCGATTGATAGATAAATAAAATATGCGAAAGCCAACTGCAGTGGGAACGAAGCGCGGAAGCAACTCTCTTGAAGCTTTTACCATGGAGAAATTCCTTGAATATTCCAGCAAATCTAATGGATTCGATTCTCCCCTACCCTGACTCACTTTCATGTGGTCATGAGTCGTAGATGGAGCAACTGCCAGGATGCCAGGAGCAGCTGTCGTTGTCAGTGTGTCTCGTTATGGGTCACCGGTTGCCGCTTGGTTAATTGAATTGGCCATGGATAACTGCTGCCACAGCCACCCCACCACCCCACACCACACCCGAGTAAGGGAAGCGAGTCATGTCTGTGTACATAAGTTGGACTTAATGAAATAAAGCAATTATTCTGCACACATAGACATTTATTAATCCTCCCCCACACCGTTCCGTGTGGCACTGGCGCCCAGGGTTTCGGACTGTTAATCGGACTCGAAGGAGCTCCGGAATGGACTTTCTGTTGACTTGACCGCTTTCCGCCTCGTCACAGATGGCAAATAAAAATATTTACTTATTGACATGACCCCCCACAGATGGTTGTGCCCCCCCTTGCCCAAGGTGGTGACTATCGCTCCCTAGTTCCAACATAGACCTTCCATCCACGCTGACTTTCATCTTACCTTTGTGTTGATGAAATCACAGGCCATATCCTTGAGTGATTTGAGCGTGAGGGCGGTTACGGGCACGCTAACTGCATCGCGAATGCTGCCAAATTGGAACAGAAATGTCACCTCGGGCCCCTCCATGATGACGGGTACGCTGCCAACGACAACGCCAACGCCAAGGCTGGCGCCGCTGCTGCTGCTGCCGTTGGAGGTGCTGTGGTGTCGTTGAGCCACGGTGGTAGTGGGTGTGTGCGAAATGGGTGGCTCAATAAAGGATTCTCCCCTGCGCTACGCTCCGTTTCGATTGCACTGATTCCTCGACCTTCGTCGACCTCCTTGTGGCGCCCTGTTTGAGGCTCTTCCTGCTGTTACAAATGCCAAGGACGCAATAGCTTTTGTAATAGTTGCCACCGCTATCCTGATTGCTCTTCCTCAGGCGTTGCCGTTGCCGTTGCGTCTCTCCTCACGTTTGCTTCTGGATTATTCCGATGGCTGTTTCTGTTTGATTCTCCTTTGGCTCTGGCTCAGCGGCGGGCGGCGGTATATTCAGGGATAATTCAGTCGGTCACGGCTCTCCGTATAGATCCAGCTATAGGGCAGAATTCCCACGACAGTCATAAGAGCAAACTGAAACTGAAAGAATTATCGAATGAGCTTTTACTTGAGCCAAGTAAGGGCGTAATTACTGGAATTGGAATGCAATTGGCAACTGTATGCAAAAGGAAGCCAAGCCAAAAGGGTTGGTCTGGCCGGGTTGGGGGGAGGGTGCGCCCCCTGAATCATTTTGCTGCCTTTGAAAGAGTCATTGGAAACTTTCAATTGCATTTGCAACTTTATTGAATGTTTTCAGACGGCGTTTGCAGAGGGCCGTGGGCGGAACGAATTAGTGGAGACGATAATTAAATATACAATACGTCATTGGAGAACTTTTTGGCCATAAGGATTTTTTTGGGGATGAGAAAAAGAGTCTATTGGGCAAACCAAAATGAAAATCTCGTGATTTGTGAACTGCTTTTGCGTCCATCGTTTATCATGCTAAAGTTTTTCCATCTATTATTATTATTAGCTCGCAAGACTAGAGAAATTTGCTGTGATCGCATACTTTACGAGCTGACTGTCTGCTGATTTTTTTTGTGGTGGTGGTGGGGGGGGGGGGGAGAGTTAGTAAGTTAGGTCATGGAGCGTTTGTTGCCTGAGACAATGGATCGATAAATAATGCGGCAATCGAAACAGCGAGCCGATTCCATTACGTACACCTCAAATTGGGCATATTAATAGCCATTATTACAGATATCTATTTATACATATATGTACATATGTATGTATGTATGTATGTACCAAGTAAGTACCTATACAAAACAGGTTGTTAATGGCGATGGGAGAAGTCTATTCCAGCTGCTAATGCTAATGGCTACGATCGTTCTGGGAAAATGTCAGTGAGAGATTTGAGTTCTTTTCAATTATTTTCAAGTGGCCTCTGTGACCCATTTACATAGAGGAATGTGTGTGTGTGTGTGGTGTGTGTGTGTGTGTGTGTGTGTGAGGCATTAAAAAATAATTTATAAATCACGATGAAAAATATGTGCTGGCTTGGCCATGAAAGGAATGCGAGCTGTAAACGAAAGGGAGGCGTCAGACAGAAGCGCAAGAACAACAAAACGAAAGCCGAGAAAGAGACTCAAGAAGAGAGCGGCCGCCAAGCAACTTTCTAAAAGTTTTTTTTTTTTTTTTTTTTGTTTCTTCTTCTGATATTTTGTTGTCTCTTGCTGTACCCTTAGAGAGGGTATTGAAACATTGTCAAGACGGTGGCTACGCAGAGCAAGAAGGTTCAGTAATATTGTATAATATTTCTAATTCAATAAAGAACTTTATTTATTGCTGCGCGTAGAATTCGCCTCAATTTGAACCAAGATAATTCATTGATAGATGTTTATATTTAATCATTTATCCTCATACAAATGTTTATCATAATCGGAGAGCTGTATCTCGAGGTATCTGGAGCTTCGGTACTTGAATTTATCGTTTGGTTTTTTTTCTTTTTTCGTTTTTTGTTATTTCTTGTAAGTAAGTAGGTGTATCAGTCAAAAGTTGCCTCGCAGCTGGTTGCGGAGTGCGTTTTGAATTTCAATGGAGTGGAGTGCGCGGAGTGGAGAACAAGGAGGAACAGTGGCATCGGAGCAGTGGGAGGCTGGATGGCATCTGGAAGCGGAGGCCGCTTAAGACCTCAAGTGTCTGGCACCAAAAAATAACGAGAAATAACAAAATTGGAGCAGAAAATGACGCAGCGCAGAGGCCTAAAGTCAAGGCTAACACAGACACAGACACTGGCACTGAGACGCAGACACACACACACACACAGAAACACACAGAAACACTGAGACACTAAAGATATTCAGCCAAATTGGCATTAAGTCTGCTTGGTATCCATGAGATACACAGATACATTTGACATTTACATAACAACAAGCAACAAGCTGCCCTGCGAATGGAGAGCATCCACTCTCCCTCTCCACTCTCCAATCTCCACTCTCCGCTATATTTTTTGTTAATAATTTATTAAGCAAATACCCACTGGCGGGGATGGATTGTTTTCACTGTCTTGCATCCGATGGGATGCCACTTGGCCATGCTGTGACTAAGCCTTGCTTCGTGCTTTGTGATGCTTCTTCTCCTTCTGCTGCTGCTGCTGCTTCTGGCTGCCTGCTGCTCTGTTTTTACTGTTACTGTTACTGGTGGGTGGGGGGGCGGTTTGTGCTGCTTCCATTCGATTCTATGCGCTGCAATTGGATGTCACTGCCATTGTCGCCGCGGCACGTTCTGAGTTTGTTAAGCCAAAAGAGCAACTGACTTGGCCAACCGACTGCCAAAGCCAAAGCCGTTTGACGATGCCCCCCATGCCGACCAGGCCCGGACCAGGGACCAGAGCCAGGCAGGGCCAGACCAGGGCAGCGCAAAAGTTAACTCAAAACCCGTTTTACTACACGCACACACATAGAATAATGTATAGTAAGGCAGAGAGAAAAAGCGGGAGAGTGAGAGAGAGAGAGCGGGCGAGAGAGAACGACTCAGACGTGTGTGTGTGTGTGTGTGTGTGTGTGGTCATGAACCAAAGCACTCGACCCGGCATGGTCTCGCCACTCTCCCCATCTGCTTTCTCCTCTCTCACTCTCTGTACTCTGCTATCCCCCTTTATCGTTTGTTTGTTTCCTTTGTTTGTTTGTTGTAACGGCCGCACTCTCACATCCCTCCTCCCCTCCACCCCTCACCCACTACCCCACACACAGCGCAAAGGCTTCCTCTCTATTGCGGCCCTCCGTACAGCTATTGGCATTTTTGCACTCTTGCCACCTCGCCGCTGCCATGTGCCAGCCCTGCCTCGCACCGTCGCGCCCATTTAGCGCCCATTTTCTTATTTCTCTGTCATTGTCAAGGCTGTGCGAGAAACTACCTGTGGGGGCTCCAGCTCTACCTCTGGCCCTGCTTCTGGCCGGTGGCGCTTTGTGCTCGCGTTGATAAGCGATTTTCACCGTCAGTCGTCAGCCCCAGAGCCAAGGCACAAGGAGCAAAGACCAAGGTTATTTCCTTTCCCAGCTACTGGCAACATTTTATATATTCTTAGATATTATATTCGTGTGCACGAATGTGTGTGAAGTGCACTAAAGGTGAGCCAAAACTGAACCGTTTTTTAATTTTCCAACGTTGCTTTCCTTTCACTTAGTTTTCTATCATGAATATGTGCTATCATGAATATAGGAACGATCACTCACATCATGTAAATTCACTGTGTGAATAAACAAAGTTTTATGTTTTATGTTTTGTTTTATGTGATTAAAGAAATTACTTCCATAAAAATTGTATGTATCGTGCTATTTTGTAATTTAAAGTGTGTTTATTTTAAATTGTATTTCAAAACAAACGAAACAATCAATTCCATTACAAAACATTTCCGAATTATGGCCGAATTTGTTTTGAAGTGTTTCGGAATTGAGAAAATCAAGAAACATTTGCTGTGTGTTTTCTTTTTAAATTATGCGAAAATGTTCATGAAATATTTTTAGACTCGACATTTTGCCGTTAATAAATATGAATATTTGAATAGAAATGTTCTTGGTATATTTTCTATTTTAATTGGCAGCATTTATAATCTACAAATATTTTAAGTGTTGCTCCACATAACAAACAAATTGGCATAAAATGTTTTGATTTCAATAGTAAAATAAAGCAGAACATGGAAATATTTTGTTGTGGTTCCATAAATGTTTAGCTGTTGTTTATGATATTTTATTCAAAATTTAACGCAAGCCATTCAATCAGAAATCCCTAAACTTGAATTAACTTCAAAATGGAAGCGTTTCTTTAAATAATTATGAGTATAAAGCTTAAGAAAATAGCAATTTGAATATTATAGATGTTAGTAGACACCCTTTGCGATAATCTATAGTCTTCGGATATTTGTACATATATTTGTGCTCACGCTACCATCTCTATTCCAGTTGAAAGTTCAATCTTTGGGCAACCTTTTTCTCTTGTGGTAATGCCAAAAGGACGGCTGCCAAATAAAAAGTTTGCTTCTCCTTCTATTTGTTTGGGTTTTTGTTTGTTTTTTTTTTATTTTTATTTTGGACTCTCGGTTATCTGCTGCTGCTTTTTAGAGGTTGCGGTGGCTACGGTGGCTACGGGTGGTGGCTCACCCGTACTCACATGCTTATTTGTTGGAATATAATGTGAATTTTCGATTCAGAGACAAAATGCAAATAGCCAAAAGACGACGCAAAAGTCGCGCGCTGTGTGCGCTGATAAGAGGCCGCCTGAAAATGGCATCATCATCATCATCATCATCATCATCATCATCGATAGATAATTAGTAAGGTGATAATAATTTGAGGGCGCTGAGAGCGAGAACGCGGTGCGATGATGATGCCGGGCTGATCTGGGGCTGATGTTGATGCTGATTCTGTGCTGCCACGACGAGTCCAAATTCCACAAATGTGGGTGGGGTCCAAAGGGAGGGCCATCGAGCCATGAATACTACGCCCCCGGCTAGAAAGGGGATGGGCAACGGTTAACGACAGCAGGAGCCGAGCTCATGTCAAGTGTGCGACAGGCTGACGCACTGGCCATAAATACCAAGGCCATGGAGCAACTTGAACGTGTGTTTTTGTTTGCTTTCCTGGCCAAAGGATAACTCAAAGAGGGCGGAATTCGAAGCGCATAGCATGGCGAGTACTGGCCTAAGTCCGGGCTGGTCCTGCTTGAAGGAGAGAATAAATATTAACCAGCGCGGGGGCAGGCAAACATTTGCATTGGAGCGGGCCATAAAATATCCCACTTATGAGCTGAGCAGCGCAACAGAAACAACAACAAAAACAAAAACAATAAGTGAAACGAAGCCGAACCTTTTGATACCCTAGCATGTCGTCTCTTTTGTGGGTATATGATATGGTCAGCAGACCTGCAACCAGACTTGGCCCATGTATATCGAAGCAGAGTTTGAGAATCTTTGGGGAGAGGTAAACTGCTGCAGGGGTACAATACGAAGAGACCCGAGAAGTAGTGCAGGAGTGGCGGCAACAGTTCATTCCACTTATGCTCCCGGTGATATAATAATGGGAGACCGAAGAAGGAGCCCAGCAGCACATGACATTTATGCTCCAAGTGATATAATAGCGCGAGCTTAGAGTGTGGGTAGGGGAATGTCGAATCATAATGCTGCTGCACGAGTTTTTTTTTCGATTATTTTCACACTCATTTTTAGATGCAACACAAAACATACATATGTATGTATCCACGTACATAGATGTGTTGAAAATTGCATGCAACTAATTAAAATAATAAATACGAGTATGCACACACACACACAAACACAACGAAACTTTCACGGGCGCGGATACGGATACGGGATACGGATATGGGATACGGAGAGGCAGAGGCAGAGGTAGAGCTACGAGTATGTAGGTAGACAACACACCTTCAACTGTGCCCCATTTCGCCAGGCGCTTTTCTTTAGAATTTTCAATATTTGCCGTTGTGTGAGTGTGTAGTAAATTTTTCTTTTACGACCACAAGTCCGTGTGGCGCGGGGTGGTGGGGGTGGATGAGGATGAGAGTATGTGTGATACGGCTACTGCCAGGTTGCCCGCTGTGGCAGCATCGTCGTCGTCGTCGTTCGCCTGCGTCCACGTTGTGTCGCTGTTGTCGCTTATGTTAACGGTAGAATTTCGCACGTTTTCACTTTGCCTCGGCCGCCGCGCAACTGAAACACAAACTGCGAAAAAGCAGTGGCAGAGGCAGCAGCAACAGCAATCGCAATCGCAAAGCCAGAGGCAGAGACAGAGACAGGCAGAAGAGCACAGCAGAGCAGAGCAAAAGGAAAAGCATCCGAAAGGGAAAAAGATTCAAACAAACTGCCAAAGCTCAGCCAAAAAATCACCAAAGAGAAACAGAATTAAGAGCAGCCCCACACATCCACCACTCGAAGAGAGTCAAGCGATTGAGCTTTGAGACTGTTGCTTCGCTCGCAATGCTCTTCAACGAAAGCTCTCCCTCTACACTGTAAAAAACTACGCATAAATTGACTCCATCTGACGTTCATCAACCGTGGGGAGCGGCTGGCTTGGCCCGTTCCATGCAGCGAAATTGAAGCGCGTAAACTGCATATTACACTAACACGTCACGGCGGAAAGGTAACCGGAAACGCAAAGCTTTTTGCCAGATGGGGAAATGGCAAGAACGTAATCGCTTTTCCACTCTAGGAGCTTTTCATCTCATCAGCTTGAGGACTGGAGCCAGGGAAAGGAAACAGGGAACAGGGAACAGAAAATGGGAAAAGCAAAAAGAAAACTGGGGCAGTCCCTACGAAGCAACTGCCAAAAGGGAAGCATAAAATTGCTCTAGCAACACATGGCGCTTACCCTTACCCCATACTGGTGGTGGCTGTGCTGGGTCCGTATACCACCCCAGAGTGTGGGTGGGAGGGCGTTTGGGGCTGCAAACTGACAACAAAAGCGCCGCACGTAATATAATAAAGAGATTTTCCATAGCATACAAAGCGGGGCTGCGCTGAGACAGTTGCATGTGTCCTGGTTATGTCCTGGTCCCCGTTCTCGTGCTCGTCCACGTTCCGACTGGTTGCCATTGCCATGTCCCGGTTCTGGTTCTGGTTCTGGTCCTGGCTTAAGCCACGCATCGTACACTCATTCCAATAGCAATCGGTTTCAGCTGAACTACAAATAATTGGCCTTGCATCTCTGTACAGTGGTGTGTGTGTGCATGTACATAGATCTGTATCTAGGTGGGTTGTCTCCATGTGTGTTGGGTGTGTGACTAACCCCTTCTTGTTGGGTGGTAATCAACAGTTTGTTGGCACGCGTTGCCGGTTGGCCCAGGGGGGGAGGTTGTGTCCGAAGCGAAGCGATTTCTCAATTACAGAATTTACAATTAAACAGATTCCACACGAATTTGGCAATGGAAATAATGTTTGGATTGCAAACAAATATATATCCTTATATTGGGTTTGAGCTGTGATTTAAATTGTGATTTGTTTAAATGCTCAAAGGTTAAATAGCCAACAGCAATTTGCACATCAAAATCATAATTTTGATTTAAAAAATCTTTGGCTTATTCGAATAATTGATAATTATAATTTAGTATATTATATTTTTGACTATGGCATAAAGTGTCTTGTTAGTTAAAGTAATTGGTGAGCTCTTCTCATTACTTAGAATACAATGCAATTTTTCCAATGCTGTTCAATTTTTCTTTTCTCTAAAATCCTTACTCAAACTCGGTTCTTTCATTTAAGCAAATTGCCTGCGACTCCCTGTTCTGTTCTGAGCTTCTTCCACTCAACCGAAAGCATTTTAAATTGGAAATAAATCAAAGACAGCACAGCAGAGGCAACATATTTTGCCTGTTGGATATTCCCGCACATTCCCCCCACAGGCCTCTCCCAGCCTTCTACCCTGGAGAAAGAACATCCCAAAACTGGAACAAAGCACAAACTCAGCAAGTTTTCGCTGCTCGCACATTAAAGTTACATTTATTTGTAGAAAATAGAACCACGTAAAGTCGGGGGGAGCCAGTTTCAAAAGGCTTTGGGTTTGGCTTTAGCTTTAGTTTCGGTGGCAGTTGCCGTTGCAATTGCAGACCCATAAAAAGTCTCTCCTAAGTGGCCAGAGTCTGGGCTGCTGCCTAATGCGGCAATTGTTAAACCAAATGCAAATAGACGTTGCAGTGGCAGTCTCCGAAGACGACGGGCCGCGTGCCAGGCATAAATCACTCCAACGGCTGCTGCTCCTCCTTCCCCATTTCCATTTCCAGCTCCAACTCCTCCATCTCCATGTCCTCCGCCTGGTTCGTTTCCGTTTCCGGGGCTGTTTCCAGCCTCAGCTCTGGCTCCGGCTCTAGCTCCACCGCGTACGCCTCCCTGTCGACTGTTAGTTTGGTAACGCTCTCGAGTGTTTTTATGGTTTGCATATACAATTTCTTGGCCAGCTCCTTGTCCTGGCCAGCCTCCGAACTTGTCGCAATTTCGCAGTCACTGAGACAACAAAAAAAAGATCAGAAGATGTAACAAAAAAATGGCTAACAAAGTGCCACTAATGCGGCAACGACTGTGGCCATGGCAACTCACTTGAAGTACTCGCCGGTGACTTGCTTCAGCTGTGGATCCGTGGCCAGCCGGATGGCACACTGGGCGCCCTCGTACGGGTTCTTCATGAAGATCCACATCCACGGGAAGGTGACCACTCTCACACAGATGGACGACATCAGAGGCGAGCTGTGTGCCAAAATACAAATCAAAAGTTAGCCAATTTAGTTTTCTTTGTAATTACCAAAAAGATAAAATGGGTTACTATAGTAGAGGGGAGTCTCGAATATACATTTTTGTTTGCTTCTGTTTCTCGAGTAACCAGCAACCAGCAACCAGCTGTGAGAGGGCCCAACCAGACACGTGCCACGAAATAGACAACGACAAGGAGAGAGAGAGAGAGAGAGAGGAGAGAGAGAGGACTTGTTTATTACATGTCAAAATTTGCCAGCTCATCGGAAAAGTTGAAAAACAGCCAAAGGAAGAAAAGTGTCGCTCTAATTTCCTTACACTCGTTTACCCCATAAATTTCAGCACGGAGTACATAATTCACAGCAAACTCACAATTCACTGTTCGTATGTATCTGTGTACATATCTATCCCTGGATCTTGGCTGCCGTGTGCATATGTTTTTATGAGCAAATATATATTATGCTCGGAAAATGTTGCCTTAATAAATAAAAGAAATAACAGAATAATGCTCATGTCTTCATTATTAAAGATAACTTTAAGAGCAAAATTGAAATTTATATTTTGATTGGATCCAATTAGTTATGGAATCAAAGCAAATGTGACAGAAAATAAAATATGTTCACCAAACATAAATCATCCCCGCCTGACATAAAAATATTCAAGCATTCGTATGCAGCATTCACAATTATTTAACAAAGTTTTAGTGAATATTTTCCAAACACTGAGCTAAAAAAAAATGCTGGGAGCCAAAACAGATGAATTCTCAAAATTTTGCATTAATTTTTCTTATTTTTTTAAAATGAATTTGTGATACAAGCAATTAAATAAAATAAAAATCAGTAAATGTTGACGTTATTGGTCAAAAGTCCCTGTAAAATTAAACTATCAAAACTTCATACAAAAATTCTTCAAAAAGTCGGTAGTCATGTCCGACTTGAGCCAATTTTCTGTTAAGCATTGTTTTAATGACAATTTCAAGTGTGGCGATAACGTTCTGTTGCAGTAGCAGAATGCCGGTTCCGACTCGCATTTCCACCATTCACAGCGTTGATCTCCAGCCTTAGCCAACTGCGAGCTGGGCCAATTTCAACGGCTGAGTCCAACGAGTTGTGTAAAATGGTTGGCTGCTCTCAATCCCATCCCCTTTTCTCACAGCCTTTTAGTCCCTTTCTGCCAACTGTTCCGCCAGGCCGAGTTGCTGTTCCTGATGCTTCCTTTTCACGAAGGATTACGAACTTGTGCGCAATTTGCTTAGCTGTCGCTGTTAATGTTTTTCCTCTGGCTTGCTGTTAGTCCTTTTCGCTTTTGTTCTTGTTAGCGGCCAACGAACGGGAAACGGTGCAAGTTCACCGACACTTGAACATCGTAAAACGATAAATAAATAATTAATGCGCTTAACTTTTCCATTTACGCTTTTCCCGTGACTTGAGCATTAACTGCTTTTCATTTCCATTCATTTCATAGTACACACAGATACACACACACACATCTGCATGTGTAAATGTGTGTGTGCGTGCCACTATCTGTCGGAACCGGCCCTGTGCTAGCCCCCTGTGTCTGGCTGGTTCTCCTTGCCTTGGGTCGAGGCTGGTGTTGATTCCATTCATCGTTTTACGCCAACGTTTTCATAGATGCGAGATTCTGCCTTCACACCCAACCACCACTGCCTCCTACCCCACCCCCATTCACTCTTCTGTTCCTGGCCACACCACACAACCCACCTGGCAGCCAGCAGCCGGCAGCCACATTGGGTGCAGTTTTAAAGTGCATAGAAAGCTGCAGGGCCTGCAGATGGTTTGTGGGCAAAAAGAAGAAAAACAAATGATTGTGGCTGGGGCTTGGGGTTAGACTTGGGGCACACTCTACTACTCGTAGATGCACAGATCCGTTGATTAATCTGTGTTTACGGATTGAGAATAAATATAAAGTTGCTCCACAAAGATATACTGCCGAAATGTTTAAGGTTTCCAAATAAAAATTCATAAAGCTACAGGTATACCCTAAGATATTCCCCTGTTCTCTTAATTTACACTGTGCAAAAGACTTCTGTGGCATATCAGCTCACATAGCCATATATGCCTCTACTCTGCAAGTGGGAAAATTCAGCTTGACTCGCTAAGCTGTAGCTGTAGCCTGGCAAAGTTCATTTTAAAGCACCGACCTGCACCTGCACCTGCCCTGCCAACACGGAAACTCTTGCCTCTAAATGTGGTCTGGTGTGTGTGTGTGTGTGTGTGCTAGTAGGGAAATGAAAAGAGCGCAGCAAAAGAGCTTTGAAAAGCAAAAGAAAACGGATTTTTTTTGGGTTATTTTCCTACCGCAATAGATGGGGCCACGAGCGGAAATTGAATCTGCCTCGGGGCAAAAATTAATTGCGTATACGCTCCGTTAATTGTTTTTATTGGCCTGCCATCTGAGTGGATATCGACTCAATGGTGTGAACCTAGGCGTAAAGTACCCAAAAAATGGATGAAATATTTTTGGGATTAAATTGATCGAGCTCATCCGATTACAGTGAGAAAACTTTAAGTGTTCAAATATTTTCCATAGTTTAAATTGTTTGGCAAATTTCTGTTATAGATTTTGAATAATTAGCAAAGAGGACATTTTGAGCTTTATTTTAAAATTTTCACAAGCATCATAAAATGCCAAAATGTCCCCTTTATTTGCGACTCAAAATTATCCAATCTCTTATTGAAAGGAAGAGCGCAATAAAGCAGGATTGATTACCCACAGAGTGACCTTTGCTGCTGTTGCCTGTTGATAAGCGTTAGAACCGCAATCTCAATGGCATTATAAAAGCCCAGCAGGTATCAGCTTTTCAATCAATGGCTGCAAACTGCAAAAAACTATCAGTTGGGTGTCGGAAAGTCGGAAAGGGATCCGGAGAGGAAGGGCACTGCACATACGATAGTAGATGTGACTGACAGCTGCTTCAGCAGTTCAGCAGTTGCCAGACCCCGGATGCGGGGCAACGAGAGCCACAGCTATCTCTGACATATGCAGGAAGGGTAGAGTATGAGGCAGACACGTACTGGGAATCGCCGTGATGATGCGGTGGGGGCGGGGGCAAGGGGAAGCACAACAAAAGTTCAATTTGGCGCTACAAAGTCTGTGGAAAGAAAAATCCACTTGCAAAGGCAAAACATGTAACAGAAAACGTGGAAAGGATGGGGGGGGCACGTGGGCGGAGTGGCATCCGATGGACAGGAAGCGAATGCATGTAAGCTGCATACAATACATGTGCATTGAGGAGTCCAATACATCCGTGCCAGCGGAGCAACTTGACTCCCTTTTGGGCCCAGTGGCACTCCCACTTACACTCATACCCATGCATCCACTTGAAGTTGCTTCCGCTGTTCATTTGCTGTTTTATTGCCACTGCCCGCAGCCAAGTCCGAGTCGGAGTCCGGGGCCAAGTACGGGTTGGGCTCTTGGCCACTAGAGGTGAGCATGTTTCATTTGCTGGGCCTACTTTCCGTTTGCTGTTACAGTCAGGGACAAGTTACAGCACAACACAACCGAAAAACGGAAGGGTACATATGTGAATATTTTAAGAGCATTTAAACATTGAACAACATCGTAAATACAAGAACAGGGAAACACAGATCAAAGTGCGAGACAATTTCGTATTTTTAGCAGCATAAGTACGTAAAATAATATCGCTTTAAAAACCACTCTGCTGTTATGTGAAGTGATTGATTCCCAGCGAACATAAATAAGGCCAATCACGAGGCTGAGACTTCACGAACGCTGCTCATCTCTTTTGCTGCCTGGCCGTTCCGTTGTTCTTGGCGCTGCGCCTAGGTCACGTGCCACCGACACGGCCAGGACCTATTGCCGCCTGGCTTGGCTCTACATCCATCTCTCCATCCGCCTTCACATGCGATGCTTGCGCTGGCCTGCCTGCCTGACTGGCTGGCTGGCTGGCTGTCAAGGTGCTGCGTTTTATGTCCAAATGATTTGTACCTTCGGCCAGGCATTTGATTTCTTTCTTTGTTTCGTCTCTCTGTTTCTCTCTCTCTCTCTCTGGCTGTGGCCCACTTTAAGGGGCACTTTTTCCTGCTGTACGAATACTCGTATTGTTATGGCATTTTGCAAATTGTAATGACGCATGTTAACAATGTTTCTGGTACGGCAGGGAGCCTAGAGCTGGAGCTGGCACTGCCTTCCGGCAGGTATACACATACATACATGTACATATGTGTGTGTGCAGGCATTACAATTTGTGTCTATGATGGATTATGCTTTTCTGGCTTGTGACAGCAATACTTTTGCCCAAATTCGGTAGCCCAATTGTATCAAAATCTTTCTCTCTCTCTCTCTTTGTTATTTTACATCGTTTATTGCCATTGAATTGTGTAATTTGCTGTACGTGCTGGTCCTGTTAACATCTGCACTTTTGCGCGTGTGTATCTATGTCTGCTCCACACACATTTGAGCACCTGCTCCATTGTGCTGGAGTGGTGCTTCCATCCGACTATTGTTCCTTGCTCCTGGCATTGTTAGAGGGCATACCAAAATCCCCATTCACATGTGTATGCCTCACACTCGTATGGAAACCTTAAGATCCCATTGTTGCTGTTAATTGTACATCAGCAAAATCGCATAGAAGCAATTACCCAAAGCATAACTAATTACGGGCAGTAAGTCTGTGGTTAGACAATTTTCCAGGCAGTCCCATTATGTGATGGCCGAAATATTCCGAGAACAAAAGTCCACGTGAGTGCATGCCTCCTTTAGGAATATCTTTTCTTGATTCTCAACTTGCATTAATTGTCTACCTAACAGTTTGGCTCTTTAGTTGTTTAAGCGCATTAAGGTAGTTGGAAAACTTCTGAATATGGTCAATTAATTTAATGCAATTATAAGTTGATAATTTGCTCAATTTTACACATATTAAAATGAAATGAAAAGAGAACACACATAACATATTATTTTCTGATTATTTTCTATGAACTAAAGCAATTAAGTGACTAATTTTAGAGGTACTTTTTTTGCTTAAAACATTATTACTCTCTCCAACCTTTTTTTAAAAGAATTTTCAGTGGGGTAAACTTTTTCAAACAGTTTTCCCCCACTTCTGATACTCCTACTTAAAGCCCGTGACTTTTTGGTTCCTTATCCATTTCCCCAAAACATTTTCATAAACCTCAATTCAGATTGCTTGACCATTCTGAACAAACAAACATTTATTTTGATATTTAGATAAATGATAGAAAAATATTTCTATTCACAAGTCAGTAAGCAATCATCCAAATTCATGACTAAATCACCCACGCTGGACTTTTTGAATAGATTTATTTCCTTGGCAATGATTTCGGATTTAGGGTCAGGGCCCCATCCACCTCCTCAGCACAATTCTAATTTATAACTGACAATAAAAAAAATCGAAAAGAAGGAAAACAAGCAGAACTTTTGTGTTTGCTGAGAGCATCAATAAATTTCGCATTAATTCCGGGACCATCATTAGAAGATTGGGCCATCGCCAGGAGTTTGGTTCTCTGTTCTCTGTGACTGTGTCACAGCAAACTTGATGCAGGCGGCGGCAACAAAGGCGGCATCTGTCACCAGGGTGTGCCTGGGTCATAACTCAAAAGAAGGGACCAGGCCGAGGAGCAAGTTGAACTTTTGCGCTGACCCAGAGATGGACCCAAACGTGGCACATGAGCCATAGCCTAAGCCTGAGCTTGACCCGTGGCCATTTCAATTGCGGCCTGACCCGCGTCTCTGGGACTTGGCCATTTTAATTACCGCATTTCACTCTTGTTGCACAGCCGCACGCCGCACGCCACACACCCTGTCTCTCACTGCGTGCACTGAACAAAAACATTTCAAATCTTGCTCTATTTTGTGTATAATATTCATAGAAATATTCTGAATGGGTGACTAGAAATAAGAATGGTGTCTCTTTAATACATAGTAGAAGCTGTAAATATTATGTCCCATGTCCATCCGTAGGTCCCAAGTTTTACTGAGTAAAACTTAACCATATATATTTATCCTAATCGGAAGACTTTATTGGTAGTATCTGTCTGCCCCTGGGTGTAGCATTTAGTGATTATTTTTAAAAAGATTTTCTCCTCAATTTTCGAACATTTTTTCTGTCAGTGTGTGAGTGCCCCTCAATGGCAGCTCATCTGCATTTGATGATGAGATGAGGGCGTGGCCGGGCGTAAGTTCATTGCAGATGTTGTCGTTTGCTGCCACTCCGCCGGTTCCCTTTACTGATTGCTGCTGTTGCTGTTGATGTTCCTCATGTTGCTGATGTTGCTGGCATTTTGTCCTTCCGCAATTTGCAACTGTTTGTCGTGTTTGCACGTCCTTTTCTGTGTATTGTGCAAATGTTTCTCTTGGCTTTCTTTTTGCGCCAGCATAAGCCCCAAATACACACCCACCTCGGAAAAGGAGGGCAACGAATTTCCCCCAAAAACCCCACACCAACTAATTTGGATGCCATGCCTTGAAAATGGATTTAGAACCAAAAATTGAGATATCTCATTTTGAATTATTCCGGCTGAATGTGTTAGGCTAAGTGCTGCCCCACTAATGGGAATGGCAATGAAAATCGATGGCAGCCAGAAGTGACCATGAGCCAGGCATTCTCTCTGCGGGAATGAATCCTTTCCCCATTGTAGTACTATTCTCTTTGTGTGCTTAATGTGGCCAAATACTTGGAAGTATAGCGCAAGATCATGCTCTGCGTACATGAAATCATTATTATCCATACATATAACAACATTTGCCTCAGCACCGAGAGAATATCTAACTGAGTAAGCAATTACCAGACCTTTATCAATGAGCGTTTGCAAATGATATTAATTTTAAGTGCACAGTTTATTTAGAATTATAGTTTTAGGATTTCATTATTCTCGAGTTTACTTAGTTTGAAAACTAAAAACTAAAAAACATTTTAAAAGTTTAATTGGATGCCTACAGTTGGGTGTATTCAGATGGCAGTCCCAACTGTGTTGTGCCTGTTGGTTATTCATTGTTTTGTGGACTGGGCTTTGTTATGAATTTTAAAGGAGTTTTTCAAACTGATATGTAACGTAAACGCTTATGTACAGACTTTCGTATAAGTGTATGAAACATACGGATGGAACCCATTCAATTTTATTTTGATTATATGTTGTATATATTTTTTCGTTTCGTTTAACCATTCGCTTTCCCTTGAGCCACATTGAACTCTATATATATATTATTCGATACTTGAGTTTTCTTTTCACCCCCATCTCCATAACACTTACTATTTTTTCACCGTATAATACAACCCATTTTGACAGCTAGACGGAGGCTGGCTCCGGCTATTTGGCCAACTCATTTGGGATCTTAAATGAATTCGCCCTTCGGGCCACAAATTTCACCTTGATGCGGCTGCCAAAAACGTGGCTACCTTCGCGGCCCAAATCGCGCCACGCCCAAATGACTTGGCAACTTTTTGATTGCATCAAACTGAGCCGCCCACTCGACCCCCAAAGGAGACGGTTGAGAGCAGAACATAGTTCTGCTTTTGCTTAATGAAAGTGCAAAACTTTAGCACGGCCACGAAATGAGCTTAAAATTTAGTTAAAGTTTCAGTTTCAGTTGCAGTTGCAGTTGAATTTTGCACTTTGCTTTGGTTACGTTTGAATTTTAATTTGGGTTTTGGCTTCTGTTTGGTTTTTGGTTTTGGTTGGGCTTGTATTTTGGTTTTTTGTGGGCGGGTTTTTGGATGACTTACTTGCGAAAGTGGCGCGTGCCGCGCACGAGTCCGGGCGTGCAGCAGTTGACCGTGACCGAGGTACCTGTGGGGGAAACGAGCAGATTTTTGTTCAGAAATCAGAAATCATGAATGCGTGGCCCTATCGAAATGAATGCATCAATAATTCACAGTGCAAACTAGGCAAATTTCAGCAGTGCACGGCGAGAAACCAACGACTGCTTATTCTTTTGAATTAATCATATTTTTTAATGAACAAAAGGCAACATTATACTGGAAAACAGCTTGGGTTCAATCGAGTTGCGAATTGCACTGTGAATTATTGATCCAGTCAAGTCAAAGGACACCGCGCCAACTTATCAAAATTAATTCATTAATAATGCACAGTGCAAGGCTGTGCCAGAGGAGTGCACAGAGATAAAACTATGGTAAGACATGACTAAAAAATAAATAATAATAATAATAATTCAAATTAATACAAATAAAAATAATTATGAAAATTAAATTGAATTTAAAATTAATTTATTCATTTTTTAAAATGCCAACTGAAAACTTTAAATTGGAAATTTCGACTGAGTATAAAAAGTGCAGAATTTCTCTCAGTGCAGTGCCTGCTCCCCCTCCCCAGGGCTTCCTAGCTTCCTTCCTCACTTACCTTTGAGCTCCCTGGCCAGCCAGCGCGTGGCCAGCAGAATGGCCAGCTTTGAGTGGGCAAAGGCATCGCGGGCATGGAACTTCACCGCCCACGTGCCCACATTGAGGGGATCATCGAAATCGATTTTGGCCGACTGGTGGGCGTGGGCCGAGACGAACACAATGCGTCCCTGCTCCGAGCGCTGCAGGTGGGGCAACAGCAGCTGCGTCAGCAGAAACGGAGCCAGATAGTTCACCTGGCTGTGCTGCTCAAAGCCGTCCGGAGTGGGCAAGTGGGTGTTGGCGAAGACCAGGCCGGCATTGTTGACCAGCACATCGACGCGGTCGAAGTCGGCCATCAGCTGGCCAGCGAAGTGGTGGACACTCCTGAACGAGTTGAGGTCCAGATAGCGGGCCTCCACAAAGTAGCGGTCCGCCGGATTTGTGTCGTCGTCCGGAAAGCAGGGGGTGCGACAGCCAAGCTCCCGCTTGATGATGGCGGCGGCCCGCTCGGCGGCCTTCATGTTGCGACAGGCGAGGATTATGCGACCCCCGCGACCGGCTAGGGCCTGGGCTATCTCGTAACCGATGCCGCTGTTCCCTCCAGTGACGACGACAATTTGTTCCTTGATTTGATTATCGTTGGGACATCGTTGGCCGCTCATTATGGTCCTGCCATGCGGGTCATGCAACAGACAAAGTCGGAGAAAGGGGGCGTTAGTGGGGGTGTGGTTTGGTTTTGGTTTTGGTTTATGAGACTGGAATGACATGCAGCCGCGCGTGGTTGCGGCTTGGGCCGTGTCACTTGTGTGTGGCATCAACTGCAGTGCGCGAGGATGTGGGCAAGGGAGAGTATGGGAGTGTCTTGGGTTATTGATAGGCGTTAATAGAATCGGTTTACTCATTTCCATAATGCCTGCGGACAATTAAGGGCCTGACTGACTCGGCCAACTCATCCGAGCACGACCAATTTCAGGCCTTGTTCATAAACAACAAATGTTAATTGATTTGATTAACTGGCTCAGGGGCAGTCACTTGGACTACTTACTCAGCGAATAAGGCCTAATTCCTACAAGGTAATATCATGGAAATTCCTGCATGATTGTGACAATTAAATGGAACATTCTAAATGTACTCGCATTGGGCTAAAGAGACTGGAATATTTGGGCATGCCAAATAATGCAACTAATTTAAATTTAAACGTTCTAATTTTAAATGTTCTCTGGAAAAATTAATAAATTTAAATATTCATGTCTGTATTAGGAGTAGAAATACTTCTGGCTTTATACATTTGTGTTCTGCTATTAATGACTGTTACAATATATTTCATATTACACTAATTACTGAGAGAAATATCAGATATACATACGCTGAATATTCACACATTTACTCTGAAATAAACAGTTGCTAGAGACACCTACAGATCCGTAACCAATCTTGGAAATAATATCACAGAATGCGCCCAAGACTTCTTTCTCTTATCCCGCAATCGATGCTAGTCAAATTTGTTCAGTGTTCAGTGCTGAGTGTTTTTTTTCACTTTTCAGATAGTTACATCCACCATTCGTTTCACTTCATTTGTCTGAGACTTATTTTGGCACTTAGCTGTAAGTTCTGGCCCCCACCTGTTTGGTCTTCATCTCTCGTTTCGGAATTCATTTGGCATTTCATTTACTTTGAGGCACAACTTGCACAAATCCACTTTGTAAATATTTTGGAGGAGGGAGAATAGCCGCAGTTGCCACTTGCCACATGCCATGCCACGTACCGCCCTGCCCCGCCCCGAGCCGAGCCGACCTGCATCCTTATCTCCCCATCCGTCTTTGGCTTACGCTAACACCTGCAATGGCGGGGCAGGGCCGAGAGATAGTATATAGGGGTCACAAAAACCGCGATGCTCCGAGCGAGCAAAAGGGAACAAAAAAGAAATGAAAATAATCTTTAGATATTACATATTATCCGACCCTTCTTCGCTTTCTCCATCTCCATCCCCGTCTTCCGCTTTCCATGTCTCCCCCTATCACCCTCTATCTCTTTATGGAATCCACTTAAAAAGTTTGCCGCGAGTGGCGGGAGTTTTTACTGGGGCTGCTGCTGCGACATTTATTTACGTGTGTCCAAGGGTAAAGTTTTTATTCCGCGTCAGAGGGGGGGCTGAGCTGGGCCAGGGTTGGGGTTGGGGTTGGGGGTTGTGGTCTGGGGGATATGGGGGATCTGGGCAAACAGTTTCCGTTGACCCATCGCACTCACCGCACTGTAATCACGAGGCCCACCGCGAGGGCCGCTATCGTGGGCCACCACGTGGAGAAGGGATCCGCCTCCTCGAACATGGTCAACAGTCGCTCCATCCTGGTTGTGTTCTCCTCCTCTCTCCTCTGCTTATGCACTTATGAATGCTGCTCTCCTTCGGCTTGTTCTCCTTCTGTCACTGTTGCCAGTCTTTCTTTTCCTGTCACTGCTCTTTTCCTCTTGCTCTTTCTCTTCCTGTTACTGCTGGCTCTTTATTGATGAATGAAAATCTGTGACTGGACGGGACTGTCGTCTGCACTGCACAAATGTTGAACGCGAACTGAACGGCAATTGTAGCTATAAATATAAATTCTCATTGCGTGGTCTCCCCACTGTCCACTCCATGCACCCGTAGTATGTGTGGGGGTACCCGCACTTAAGCTGCTGTTGCACGATACCTTTTTTTTGCCGGAAGAACTGGACATTCACACTGGTCACAACGGATAAGTCCGGTGACAGCTTGGAACACTGTAGATAGATAGATTTTAAATAATAGATTTTTGTGTGTGTTTGTTTGTGTCAAGAAAAACCTTCGGTGATAAACTGATCGTTTTATAGTGCCTTAAGCGCAGATTTCCAGAGCAGAGCAGAGCAGAAGATGCTGCTGACAATTGAATTTAAATGTGCCCTCCGAAAACCCACACCCCTGGATGGGATGTCGCTACCTTCCGCTTCCCCTCACGAAACGTCACCGGCATATTTTCAATTTACATAAATGCTTGTTGCGCGGGCGGCATACAAAACGAGCGTTAGAACGAGATGGCCAGAGATAGCGGGACCCTGCTATCCCCCCTCACCAATGTACCTGTCGACGCTTTTAAGGTTATGTGCAAATTTGCACAAGCCGCAATAAAGGAGCCTGCGAGATAGAGAGATAAGGTAGAGGGTCAGAGTCAGAGAAGAGATATTCGGTTCGCTATTTACACGCGTTTTCCATTTTTTAATTTGTGTTCTTATTTCGTTGCGTTTTTTTTTCGACAATTTTTCTGCGGTTTTACGCATTCAGTGTGCATATTTTTGTATGTAGCGTCGTCGACTAATGTAATTCAATTAATCTTCCGGCGGTTTCTGCTCCCAGTACTCTCTCTTCCGTAGTGTATTTTGGTCAGACTGCGTGGCCACAAATTTTAATTACCGTTTAACAACTGTTGGTGCGAAGCAAAGTCCGAGTCAGAGTCTGAGTGGCAGCGAGTGCAGGGGAATGGTTTGGGTTTTTATGAAAAGGTCGGTGCTATGTGAAGAGAAGGGAAAGCTGATGGTTGTTTCACTTTTATTTTGGATCCTGAAACGACTTACCATGAAATTTAACATACTTCAGGAAATCATTATGAGGCAGGCTAATTAATACTTGAAAAATCATATCATTATTATTATTTTTATATTCGTTGGATGAAATGGAAAAAAAAAACAAAAAAATGCACAATGTATTTAAAAACAATTTAAGTTCCACTGTATATCTTATTTATTTATTTATTTCCACTTATTTGTTCTTTTTTCTTACAATTTAATTTTGGTGTCTGTTAAAGGTTAATTAAAATATATAAAATAATATCATTGTCTATGTATTCTTTCATTTAATTATACTTTTCCATCCACTCAAGTTTCAAGAGTTTCTCACGCAGCGTACATACATATGTATGTACATGTATTTATATATTTTTGTTCATTAACTTTTCGTTTTTTCACGTATAGTTGTTTATCTCTCAAACACGGGCTCTTCCACAAGCTCCAACAAAAAATGTTCACTTTTAAATTGCCACCACTCATGAGTATATTAAAATGTTTTACGAATATGAAAATATCAATATAAATAGAAGCGCTGTGCACGGAAATATGAAATACAAAAGCGAATAAAGTAATCTTAATATATGAAAATAAATTAAATAACAATAATTGTTAAACCACCGTAAAAAAAATGGGTTTAATTATGACCATACAAAAAAGCGGAGGGAAACCGTGCCTGACAAAAAAATGTCCAAAGGAATATTTAAAAAAATGTTGTTAAACTACTGCGGTATTATCCCTGTTATTGAACGAACTTTCGATAAATTTGGATTGAATATGGAGCTGGGGAACTGCTTGTGTTGCAATGTTTTAAATGTTGTGGGTATTCGCTTTTTCTTAGACATATTTATGAAATAGTTTCATATGTGAAACTACAACCACTATCCAGATATTCCTACATCGTGCAATTCTCTATGCATATGTGGGCTCATCTGCCGTTTCATAGGATTGTGAAATTCGATGCCCAAATTGTGACAGCAAAGCCCCTCGAATCCATTCCACCACTAGCCGTTGATTCGGACTCACCCCTTGCTACTCCAATTCAATTACTACCCATCCATTGCGCTCACACAGCACGCATATTTTCCAGTAATTTAGTTAGAATACACACAGTTGATGACCCCCATAGGGACGACAATGCACTCAGTGCACTCTACACTGCGCTTCCATATCCGGCTTTCCAATTGATGGAGCGAACCAGAGTAGAGCAGAGTAGAGTAGAGACAGCCCCTGCCAGACCCAACCAGCATCTGAATGAGATTCTCCCAGCTAGAACACAAATGGATCCGTATATATGTTTTAATGTTTTTGTAATATTTTCTGTTCGTTTATTTAACGTTTCTTCAATTTACATACTCTCGTATCTAATGTCGCTTATTGGTTGACCGAATTTGCATTTTTATTTGCGTTGTATTTTGTGTTTCGTGTTTCATCTTTCGTTTTCATTTTCATTGTTATATTTAGTTTGTTTATTTTTTTTTTTTTTTTGTTCTTTCGCTTAGTCATTTGCTTTAGTTAGTTTGCTTTTGCTCAGACAGTTTTTTTTTGTTCATAAATATGTAATGCTAATTGGTAAATTGTTTCAGATATTATGCTTTCTGCATTGATGTGCGTGTCCATACATGAATGTGTGTGTGTGTGCATGTGTGAGTGTGGCATATAGAGCGTTATATTATGTCTGTGTTGTTTTTTTTTTTTTTGGTTTGTTTTAAATTTGCTTGGAACTTGTTCACTTTTATGCTGCAAAAGAGTCTCCTTAGGCGAGCGTGTGCTTGAGGTGTGTGTGTGTTTGTTGCTATGCCTTTGTGTTAGTTTGGTATACTAATTTAGGTACAGTACGTTTCAGAGCAATACGAATAACTCTATAGTTATTGAATCGTTTAAGAAATTTAACCAAAAAAATATTTTTGAAGCTAAGCGGAAAATAAAACTACCACTAACTAATAGTATTAAAGATTGAAGATATGAAAGTATATCAGAAAATGTTAGGTATCAAAAAATGTATAGAAAGTAATATAAACTGAACGAAGATCTTAGTTCATATAATTTTGTTTTATGTATGTATTGAAGGTTGTGTTTCAGTCATCGATTTAAATCGATCTCTTCTACTCTTATGTTCGTACTTTGGCCTAACGAAATTCATGACCTTTTTGTATATACTCGTAATTTATTTGTTCAATTGAAATACTGTGATATATATTTCTGAAACGCACTGTTTGGTGTATGCATCTTATTTGGTATTTCGTCTGGCGAGTTGTCTATAAATAGCTAAAGCAGCTTATCGTATTGATGTGTGGAAATATGTAACTCTATTTACAGATGAAATCGAAATCGAACTCGGTTTCGTAACAAAGGGTCCATCAACGGAAATGAATGTAGAATTTTTATAACAATGTAAACATTTTCAAGATCCGCTAAGAATTATCAAACATGGTTTGTTTTACAAATATTTAGTTTTGTTGTTTTTTCTTTTGTTCATTTAAAATTAGTATCACTAACAAGCTTTTGTTTTATATATTTAATAATTTCTATATCTGCAGAGGTGAGTGTTGGTGTGGAGGAGGGTCCTTTTGTCCTTCTTTATCTGCTCCCTCGCCACACTTCAGCTCCACTCATCGGCACTCCGCGTGTCTTCTCTCTGGTCTACATTAGTTCAGTTTGCTCTGTGTGTGTGTGTGTGTGTCTGTGTTGTGTGATTAAGGTTTGATCCTGTCACTAATTATAAAGTTTTACTTTTGCTTGGTCGTCAATTGCATAAATAAGTTTATGCCTTTTGTGGTATCTACATAGTTACTATGAATGTAGGTATATATGTATCTTTTCATATACAATAACTAACTCGAAGATAGATTATATTTAAATTTTCACGTTTTTTTACAATTTCAAAACTGTTGTTTTCGTTTTTTTTTGTCTGTTTTAATGTGAGAGAGTGTCGTTTGTGTGTGGTGTCTGAGTTTTATCTACTTAGAAGCTACACTTAAGAAAAGCAAACCGTGACAGTCACGCCGATCGACACAGCCCGCCCCACAGACCGACATCGTCCAGGCCTCGGCCCTACCTAGTTAAATATATACCTATATAAATGAATTTACTCGTACTTGCTAGGAATTGTAAATTTTATGCTACATAAATCCGAAAAGGACAATAAAAATAATCTCTCGAATATTTACAGCGGGCTCCAGGCGGGGGGTGGGAGTGTGGTGGGGTTGGGGTTGGGGTTTTGGGACGCGGTCTTTGGGGGATATGTGAGAACTACCAGGGCGCCTATCATCTCATTCTCATCTGCATGCTAAACTGGGAAAAATGTTTTGCAATATTTGTGTATGAATAAATTTCGTTCCATTTGTAGCTGGCTGCTGCTCTTGTTGCTCTGTTTGAAAATTGTTTTTCTGGTTGATGTCCAAGTTTTGATGGTGACAACTTTTTTATAGCTCCGTTCGTTTGTTTGTCCGCAGAAATTGTTATTAATAATTTATTGATACAACAATCTGTGATATATTTTAGAATCGTTCCGTGCCATGCTATTTATTTATTTATGCATTTTTTAGTTTTCAGGCTTGTTGCCAGGAGTTTTGTGTGTACTCGTATGTATGTATGTATGTATGCATGTACATATGTATGTGTCTATATAATTTAATAGTAATGTAGGGATTGAATATACTAAACTACATACAAATTTTTCCGATGTGCTCAGTGCTGCAATCGTCCCCTTTTTTGATAAATAGTTTTGGGTTTCCAATTTGGTGAGGGTTCTGCTACTGCTGGTTCTCGTTCTCGTTCTGTTGCGGGTGGTGTGGTGTGGTGGTTGGTGCCTTCACATCGCTGATATAAGGGTCATATAATCTGCAAATATACGCGAAGCGAACAAATATGAAAATTCGATTAGCGGTCGTCAATTCAGCGGCATAGCAAATACTATACATTATTCAACGGCCAGTCAATGCCATATCCACCCGATTGAATCCGAAATTCTGTAGGTACACACAGCCGTTTGAAGCCGTGTCCATTCAGTGAATATCAAAGTGTATGGAAATAAAAAGTTCGTGGTCAAATTTGGGCCACAATTTATACGATTTATACTTTGAACAAAGGACTACAACACATTTGGACAGAGGTCATACTGTTTCTATCTATTTATTGGATGAGCTAATTTGGTGAATAAATATATTATCAGACAGAAATATTCCGATGCATCGCTGCAAATGGTCATCAATTTTGTTCAGGCAAATGACGTAAAGGTTCAGCGGATTCCAATTTGTTGTCTGGGGATATACCTACAAATTTAATCAAAGTAGAGTTGAAAATAGTCAATGAATTTGTTTGCTTCTGGAGTTTATTATCCTTAACCTCGGGGATCATTTACCAAATGCTTGATGGGGAAGTTTCTAATTTTTAACAGAATTTTGAGTATTTTTGCAACTGTCCCAATTTAATGGGTAATTCTCTTTTACTATTAGCCCCAAAATTACTTAGCCGTTGTATGTATATTAAATAATTTAAAACCTAAATAAAAGTCTCCAATAGAATGTGTTTAAATAACCAAAACCAATTTGTCCAGATAATGACAAAGCATAGGAAACATTTTATACCAAAATGAACACACTTCTGTTATCGGTTCATCTACATCTACACACTCGTTTGTACATTTATAAAGTAGGTTTTTGTGTTTGCGCACTTTGGCCGCCACACACGCCGAACATAATCATTATGCCATCCAGAACTAACAATATTTAATGGGTTAAATAAATTTAGTGTATGGCACCCAAATTAATGAACTTTCGCCAGCAATTAGCTCATATATATTTATTACATAATGCATGCGAGTAATTTCTGATAATGCGAATGGGTGTTCCCCACATCGTCGCATAGACCTAACCCCAGAGGCAGCCTCTGCCGCTGCCCCTGCGCTGCCACAGTCAATAGCGTTTGCCATTAGCTCTCCACACTTACTGGCTCTGGTTCAGACTCATTCTGTATAATGGACCATTCAGTTATTTGTTATTAGCCCAAATGGGCATTCAGCATTCAGCAAACCTAAAACCCAGCCCAAAAATATGGCCTCACTCGGGCACTGGGCAGTGCCCAAATGTAGAACTTCCAGCCAAAGTCCAATCGATTTTAATAGTCACAAGCCCAAAAGGTTTTCTCTCGAGGGAATGGCGGGTGTTTGTCTGCATCTACATACGGTGCGTCTCAAAAGTATAAGTTAAGTACATACACATGAAACCTACATCATATTTTATTTATTTCATGCCATATTGTCAGTGTACAAAAGTAGTCAGATGTGCGAAGAAATTTGATAGCAAAGCAAACGAATATTATTCAACGATTTATTTACAATTTCAGTGACTTTCTCGATAGCTGGCTCCTTTATTGCTTCCCATACTAATAACTGATTTCGTTTGATAGCCAAACAAGTTGTAAAGCCATGTGTATGAGAGTATACAATGACCTGTGAACTTACAAAGGAATATTCCCTTGAGGGAAAGTGGGCAAGTCCTAAGTCAAAATTGGAATAGCATTTTTGATTTTATTCGGACAAGAGACTTCTATTGTGGGACACACAATATTTAAGTGGACCTTGCCAATTTACATAATTTGTATAAAATCTATAAATCTGCCACTGCTTTTCACTGTCTTATAGTTTCGAAACGCACTGTGGGCCCGTGCAGAGCTGTGAATAGTCTGGGGCTGACAATTTTTTAATCAACACGAGCCGGGCAGCAACAACTGGCACTGGAACGAACTTGCTGGGCAAATACTCAACTCAACAAGGAAATGTCGCTTACGAAAATAAGTAAAAAACCAAATGCAAAATATTCCATGACCATTTTGGCACGTGCTCGCTATCCATTGTTGTAGCTTTGGTTGTTGTTGTAACTGTGGTTGTTGCTGTTGTTGTTGGTGATTGTGTGAACCTTGATTAACGCAACAGGAGAGATGGTGGGTGGGTGTAAGGCCAGGCAACATCAGCGTTAGGAATATTGTTGCTGTTTGCCAAATCTCTCGACGCTGTCTCTCTAAATTTTAACTATGAATGTCCTGGGCTGCCAGTGCCATACAACAGTAACAACGAATGGTTATGTGGTTATGTATCTACGTGTATGTGTGTGTGTGTGTGGGTGTGTGTGGGTTGGCTGTAAAATTTCTTTACCAAAACCTTCTTAGCTTGGCTTAGTAGCCCCGCACCGCCATTGTTTGTGTATTTGCATTTCGGCTCCTCTAGTGCCTTGTGCACCCCATTACCCCATCAGGCGTGTATCACCCACCCACCCCTTTGTTGGTTGCTCTGTGGCGGGGTGTGAAATTTCATGCATATATGTATCTATGAGATACAGTGCGGGTGCTGGTGCGGCTGTCTAAGTGTACGTGTATGTGGGTGGGTGGGGGTCTGAATGTTCGTGGAAGAGTTCGTGCCTCGCCTTTGGCCTTTTTGCAGCTTTTACTTTTTACCCGCTTTCTGTTTGTCTTGCTGTTGTTGCCTTTGTTTGCTGCTCCCACAGCCGCTGTTGCTGTTGCTGTTGCTGCTGCTGTTGCTCCTCCTTGGCTTTGGTTGTTCGGACCGCCTCGAGTCAGTCGCAGTCGCAGTCAGCAGCCCTTTGACCAGGTCGGATGATTCGCCAAGGAAGAAAAGAAACGGCGTCACATTCAAATACCTCAGCGAGTGAAATGTAAATCGTTTTTTCCGTTTCCCATTCCGTTGGCTAGGTAACTGGGGAAAAGGTATTGGGTTGGTGTTGGTGCTAGTGCTGCAAGTGCAACAGGCAAAGGCAAACGAGGTTTGGGGCACCTTGAAAATTTTGATAGCTGAAGCCAGTAATCGCAGCACTCTATACATTCCTCGATGGTGTTTTGTGTGTGTTAAAAATCTAATTTTAATTTATATTCAAATTCCAAGTCCAAGCCACAAGTTGGTCGGAAAGTGGACCATCTGCAACACATCTAAATCCTTGTGATCTTATGAATTCAATAACCATTAAGTACTCCGGTATATAGGGTACAACTCTATGGGGATCCAACCCTTTTCTGGTGCTCTACTTTATTGTTATTGCTAGAATTTTATATGCCACCACATGCAGAGGCAGCAGCTGCGAGCAGGAGAGAAATGGCAGAGCACGGCAGCACAGGACAGGGAGAATTATATGAAGCTGGCCGCAGCCAGGCCAGGCACAGTGGGTGAATGGCGGTGAAATATCGCGCCAACTATTTTGTGGGTGTGTGTGTGTGTGTGTGTGTGTGTGTCCTGGCAGGGAACCGCAACGTGTTATGCAAATCTGGCAGCGTTGGCTGCGGCCCGTTGCGGCCCGCTGCGGCCGTGAGGTGTCCCCGGCCATGTGTCGCGTCGCCCGGAACAGTATTTGTATTTGTGCCGTGAGCTCTGTTGACCATCTGCAGCGCCAACGGTGGCATCAAAAACAATTTAGGAGCTTTGCTAAGCTTTGCTTTGCTGCTCTGGTTGCTCTGGTTTTCCTTGGTCGGCACTTTTTTGCTGCCATCCCGACTCTTCACCTCTTTTTGATTCACTCAAAATGTTCATTTAAATTGCAAAAACTCCATTGTTTCGTGCTCATTGTTCTTTTCATGTTTACCTGCCATCTTTTCGTTTCTTTTTTTTTTTTTTTGCTCTTTCCTCAATTAGCATTTTCCGGACGAAGGAATATAAAAGGGGTCAAGGGGGAGTGGCAGCTGGAGGTTGTCGCATTAAAAATGATATCCTAAGTAGATTATACAAATTGCTAGCAATTATATTTAATAGCTCTTTCAAGTGGGGCACATAAACGGAGAGAGAGAGAGGGAGAGAGAGAGAGAGAAAGCGTACCGTTCAGGCTTTGAGCGAGCGATGGGTTCTTGAGGCGTTTTCCCTCTTGATCTCGCTTTTCTATTTCCATTCGCAACTCAAAGGGAATGGCAAAGCAAAAGGCACCTATTTATCAACTAATAAACCGGTCAAGAACAGTCAAGTCTCAAAGCTTTAGCCGAATATAAAAGTACCAATATAAATAGACAGCAAGCGGAGTGAGAGCCATGGGAATTTGCCAGTAATCGTATTCAAAGGCTGATTTTAATGAAAGACTAACCATTGGATTTTCACTATTAAAGATAGGCGCAGTCCGGACTTTTCGGGCACGAGCCGTAACAACAGCTATAAAAATGAGAATTTTCATGCCCGCACGACGAGGCATAATGCAAATTTAAAGCACCTACAGCCATCGTGTTGAAATGGAGCTCGTGCAGAACGGGCATAAAAAGCGAATAAAAACGTAGTTTCTGTTTATTTCTAGTCCTCAGTGCAGAATTTTTCATTAAGACTATAAAATTCTTCATCAAACTTGTGCAACTCGCTCTGGCACTTTCGTTGGCCTTTCAACGCGAAGTTCTCACTTAAAAAGTTCACCCAATTAACAATCAGAATGCAATTTGTATAATTCGCAATTAATTTAATTGTGTATTACATTTCCATTCACTTGAAAGTACAATAAAAACTGACGACAGACAGCACACGGATAATGCAGTTCATTCTATGCCTGTGGCCACTGGATGTACGGGGTACTCGTACATCTATTTATTTTTAATTATATTTAATTAACCATGAAACCTGGTTTAGTTTTAGTATATTTGAATAAAATATACATTATACATTGACTGTCAGCTGGTAGACAGTTTCAGTATGCTTTATAATAGTTTAATTTTATTCTATTTAACATCATAATAAAATAAATTAAGTTTGATTAATGGTTGAAAGCTCCTAGAATACATAATTATTACCTATTAATGAAGAAATTGCTTTTTGCCTATTGCTCTGCCAGCTTTGAACATTTATCTGAATAAACATTTAGTTTTTA